ATGTGCTCTAATAGTCAGAATAGCTTTGGGGGTCGGTATGCTGTATTAACATGATACGAAGGGTCAGTAAGAAATGAGTTCAGTCGTTACTAAGGCTTCCATATTAATCATGCTACCGTGTATTCCCACTAAACCCTTAAACTCCAAAACAAAAGTCTATTTCAACCACCTTACCGCTGAAGCCGAGAATCCAGTCAGATTTGTAGATCGGTATTTCGCGGGTTCTTTTCACGACACTACAAGGGTTACGATACAGGTTCTGGGGGCCTCAATCGTTTCCATCCGTTCGTGTGTATGCTTTGCTTGTACGGTTCTGTAGTATCGCAAAATCTGGAACCAACAGCCCTCCAACACCCAAAGTAGTAAGTAAGGGTGTAGGTCTTTTTTTTGAACCCTCTTTTCTTTGGCGGGGACTCAAAGTAGTAAGGGTGTTGGCTTTTTTTGTTTGAACCCTCTTGTCTTAGGCGGGGTAGGGTTTTGGGGTTGAGGGGAGTCTCCCGCAGCGTAGGATTCGGCTACGCACCAAGCCTTGCTCATGCCCAGCTCCGCATGCGTGCCACACATCGGATGGCATCGATGCAGAACCAACTTAGGAATCTAGTTCATTGTTGGGATAGGATTAAAAATTGTACTTTTTTATTCGTTATTGAGTTTAAGTACCCATAAAAATGTAAAATGCTACCCAGCTATGACAAAGGAATGAACGTTTCATGCCTTTTAGGATTCGGATTGTGTGGGCAGCAAGATTCAGCCCTTCGCAGTAACAGTTGCAGTACCGATTGGGAATGCTGTTCTGAAGCCTAGGCTGAATCGCAATCCAACGATTTAGGGTTTAGGGTTTAGGGAGCTCTCCTTCCTGAATCTTAGCTGCCCCAGCTGGCTGGGAGTTTCAATCAAAACGGGTCACTGTCTTATTTGCTGCTGACTCAGGGATTCGATGATATCGAAAGTTAAAGTCGGACCTCTTGTGATTGAAATTCTCCCAGACAGCACGTACGCACGGCTTCTGCAGTCTGCAGTCTTGGATTAATTATCGGGGTGGTTGTCAAAATTGTGGTCGCTTTTTGGGTACCGTAGAAATAAGGTGCCGTATTATAATAAGGACCCCAAAACCAGCCCAAATGTGAAAACCACCCACCTGGCTTTGAGACTGCGGTCGCAAACCGTACAAAGCGGCGAGAGAAGAACTGACTCGCTCGACTTCTGGGCGGATCCAACCTCAAAGCCTGCAGCAGTACCCGATCTAAAGGGTTGCAGAGGCCGGGAAGCCATCACCGTCCGGCCACGAGTCAAAGGAACTCTCGCGAAACTCGGCCTTGGATTTCATAAACCACGGGGCACATTTTGTGAATACAGTACGTAAAGGGAAGGTTCGCGTTGCTCCTACCACGACCCCAGGTTACAAAAGCAGCGCGACAGGGACGGAGAAGGATGACGGTGACTTCAATGATGACCAAGACGATGACAATAACAAGGAATTACGACATCTATTCAGCGATTCATTAGAGCTGCCGACCCAGCCCACAGCAAGAGAAGCACCGATAAACAGGCGCGAAGACGAAAATACCGCAATAGAGCACACTCACATGTTCTGGTTTCAAGGAGCTGTATACCCTAAACCCTCACCAAACAAGGAAGAGGCCAAGGGCCGGAAGGCTCACTCCTTGTCAGACCGAGGAGCAGCGCGAAAGGCCACCAGGGCCGACAGCACCATGAGAGGCGCCTGAAAATGGATTAGAGTTTAGGGTTTAGGGTTTAGGGTCTAGGGTTTATGGTTCAGGATTTAAGGTTTAGGGTTTAGGGAATTAGGCCTCAAAATGGATAGTTGTCAAATTAGGGTCCCTTTCTGGGTACCCTAAATTATAGGTGTCGTATTATAAAAGCAACCCAAAAAGGGACCATAATTTTGATAACCACCCAAATGGTTTAGGGTCAGGGTTTATGTCCGCATAATCAAGACGGGAAAATCTCGACGACTGTTTCTGCTTCTGCCTCTGCCTCTGCGCCTGCACCTGCGCCTGCTCCTGCTCCTGCTCCCTCTGCTGCTCCTGCTCCTGCTCCTGCTCCTGCTACTGCTACTGCTACTGCTACTGTACTGCTACGGCTACTGCTACCTGCCCTGCCGACCCTACCAACTACCCTTTCTCAGTCGTTTCAGCACCTACCGTTTCTCATTAGATAGGGTTTTCGACTAGACAGAGTTCTCCGATCAGATACGGGCGCTCACGTTAGACAGGGGCTTTCCTGATTCCTGGTTCCAAACGACTTGGCAAATACTCCGCCTTTCCCTCGAAAGCAGTAGTAGCAGTAGTAGTAGTAGTAGTAGTAGTAGTAGCAGTAGTAGTAGTAGTAGTAGTAGTAGCAGTAGTAGTAGTAGTAGTAGTAGTAGCAGCAGTAGTAGTAGTAGTAGTAGTAGTAGTACTAGTACTAGCACTAGTACTGGTACTAGTAAAATCGTCGTCGCCGACCGACGTCTTACGGCAAAGGAACTTCAGACACGCCATGGCTGGTTTCCTGGCTCGGAGCCCAGTGTCACACCACTATACTCCCAAACGACATGGTACCCTTTTCCTACTTTTCTGGTATCATGGGGAACTAAAGGCTAACCTCTTTGGTTATATAGGGATTATATACGAACTATACTACCCACAAAGGTTAAAGGTTACCCACTCTTCTACTAGGTTTTCCAACTCTTATAGCAGAGCCAAGGTGCAAGTTGAAGCATGTCATCCGGGGAAAGCTCCTGCAAAACCCTACATTATACATCCTCCCTGGAATGGTGCTAGAAGTCTTCTTCTTCGTTTACGGTTTAGGGTTTAGGGTTTAAGGTTTGGGCTGGCGACGCAGGGGCCATGACAATCATAAACAGGCTGTGGTGGTCCGTTACATGCAGGGGCTATAAAGGGACATTGGTTCTATCTGATTGTACTGCTTCAGGTTTGAAGGGTCCGCTTACTACATTCTTGTTGCATGGCAGGGGTGCGCTTAGCGATGATGCCACACTTGCAAACTTTGGGAGAAACTGTATCGTCGGAAAGACTGTGCTGGGCTCTTCCACATGATCGGCGATCCCCGTAGCGGTCCCCACATACTCCAAACCCTATAGACCCCAAAACCTCAAAACCCTAAACCATAAACCCTAAAACCCTAAAACCCTAACTCCCTAACACCCTAAAACCCTAAAGCCCTACACCCTAAACCACTAAACCCTCAAACCCTAAACCCCAAGCCATAAACCTCAACTGTCAACCATAAGCCCTAAACCCCACACCCTTTGACCCTCAGGAGCTTCTCGCCTAGACCCTAAACCCTATGAACTCTATGAACCTCAGGAGCTTCTCTCCTAAACCCGAAGCCCTACATCCTAAACCCTAAACCCTACCCAGGAGCTTCCCTCCTGTGTCTGCGACCACCCGGTCAGCACCGAGGCTGCCCCAAGAAGGTCAGCAACAGCCGAGGCGCCTGGGCTTCGCGAAGGGATCGTCTAATGTAGGGGCCTTAAGATTTAGAATTGGCTTAGAGTTTAGGGTTTAGGGTGTATAGGGGCCTTACGAATTAGAATAGGCTTAGGGTTTAGGGCTTAGGGATTTGGGGCCTCAACAATTGGAATAGGGTTTGGGGGTATGGTATACTAAGGAACCCCCAAAACAGTACGAACCTCTTCGGAATCTTGAAGAGGGTCTATAGAAGGCTTCCTGAAAAGAGTTTCCCTTAAAGGGATATTAGAAAAGGGGGGGTTCTAGAAGGAGTGTAGGAAAGGGTTCTACAATAAGGGGTGCGTAGTATACCCTAAACCCTTAAACCCTAAACACTAAACCCTTAAACCCTGAACCCTAAACCCTTAACCCTTAAACCCTAAAGCCTAAACCCTAAAACCCTAAACCCTATCGCGTTTCATTAAGGCTCAGGGTCTTGAGATCCGGGCTTGGGCTTCGGACTTGGGTGGTTATCAAAATTATGGTTCCTTTTGGGTCCTTATTATAGTACGGCACCTGTTATTTAGGGATCCAAAAAGGGACCATAATTTTGACAACCACCCACTTGGTGGTTTGGAAGATTCGGGTCAGGGCACAGGGTTTAGGGTTTAGGTCTGTTTCAGAGGTCCTTTTTTCCCCGGGGTCAGCACTGAGCTTTGGTTTAAGGTTTAGGGTTTAGGGCATAAAGTCGGGCTCAGGATTTGGGGTGAAGTGCTTCCGGCGAAACAACTGTTCAGGGTGTCGAGCCATGCAACTTGCATGGTGCGACAAAGCCTGCTGACAATGTAGGCTTGACGAAGGAGGCCGCCAAAACCCTGTCCTGAACAAAACGTAAGCTACGAACATAAATACTAGGCCGAATCTAAATCTATAGTTTCTCTATACACATACATAGGTGCATACATATGTACGTACGGACATCCATCCATCCATACAAACATACATATATAAATATATACATAAGTACATGCATAAGTACATACATAAATACATACATACTTACATGCATACACACATACATACACTCACTGCAGACATAGGTTGTTGCTCTTTACTACGTTCGCTATATGGCTCTATTGCCACTGTGTTGTTGCTACTCCTGTGCCATATCCTACGAATAGTAGAGAACCGTCAGTAGGTGGACAGTTGGATAGATGGACAACTAGATAGGTAGAAAGAAAGACACACAGACAGATAGATTAGATATGCAGGCGAGCTACTATTGGATAAGCACACGAGGCAAGGGAGGGGGGGGGGGGTGGAATGCACTCGCAGGATTGCTGGAACATTTTGCACCCGAGCCGCCCACAGTCTCATCCCACCGCTTCAAAGTTGCAATTCCTTTCCTCCAGAGCACCCCCAAGATCAACGGCCCGCCCAGGAAAGAGCCACTGTTCAGAAGGCGATCGGGACTCGTGGTCATCGATCGGCTGCAAGGACACGGCCTCGGCCACGAAAGCGGCTCCTCGATGGCACACTGTCACCACCCCCCCTTCCACCGATGCCGTGGCAATGCTGCAATGCAGATTCGTCCAATGGCAATCAGTCAAAGCAGGGCAAGGCAAAGCAAAACAGGGCAAGACAAGGCAGGTCGGGACGGGCAGAACAAGGCAGGGCAGGGCGAGCAGAGCAGAGCCAGCAGAGCGAGCAGAGCAGGAGAGGACACGGAAGAACCGGGCAGGGCAAGGCCAGACGGAGCAGGGCTAGACGAGCAAAGCAAGGCAGCACAAGGCATGACGGGGCAGAGCGAGACAGGGCAGAGCAGCACAACAGGGAGGGCATCAAAACAAGATTGCCAGATGCCGCCACTGCACGGCACGAAAGAAGTAAGTTGCCGCACATGCGTTGCTGCCACCCAAGATCGAGGGTAGCACTGTTGGATCTCTCCTTTAAGCCGTCTCGGCTCCAGACAAAATCAGCTCGAAGATGTCGCATACAACCACACCCTCCAACCTCCGAAAGGACCCCGAACAATACCGAAACCACGCGCAAAAGAACCCTGCAGCCTCGGAACACCCAAACCACCGAGGAATCCCGGAAGCCCAGGGGAAGAGGGTGCCCGGCGAATCGAAGCGAAGAGGCCATAACCTGAGCACAAGAGGGTCGGGCACAGCAAGAAGAAGCAGGAAGGGCAAAGAAGCAAGGGGGCGCGGGAGGGCCTCGTTTTTTGGGGTGCAGTGTTTTAGAGCTCGGGGTTTTCGGATTGGTAAATTTAGGATCGGGGGAAATAGGGTCTTAGGATCTGGAACTTGTTGCCGTTGGACCGCGGGGCGGGTTAAAGGTTCGGGCTTCGGGCTTTCGGGGTTAAGGAGTTAACAGTTTAAGTGTTTGGCCAACACCACGCAGTGCAGGCAAAGCAAGAAAAAACAAGACAGAGCGGAACAGAAGAGGGCACAACTGGACAGACCGGGACGAGGCAGGACAGGGCGGAACAGAACAAGGTAGGGCAAGGCGGAGCAGGGCAAGGCAAGGAAAAACCCTTGAACAAACCCCGAAACCCCACCAAAAAAAAAAGAAAAATCGAAGCGCCCGCACTATAAGCCTGGCTGCACCGGAACCCCACACCTTCCAAGCTCCGAACCGCACACAACAAAACCAAGCCCTACGCATACGGATCTCGCAGCCCCGGGAAACCCAAATCACCTGGGAATCCCCGAAGCCTAGCCTAGCGTTTCAAGGCTCAAGATTTACACAAGACCACGCACACTCGAACCTTGCAGGCTCGGAACACCCAAACCACGGAAGAACCCAGGAAGCCTAAGGGAAGAAGGTGCCCGGCGAATCGAAGCGAGAAGGTCATAACCTGGGCGCGGGAGGGTTAGGCACAGCGAGAAGGAGCAGGAAGGGTAAGAAAGCAAGGAAGGGCGGGAGGGCTTCGGATTTTGGGTCTAGTGTTATAGAGCTCGAGGTTCTCGGATTAGGGGCTTTAGGACCTGAGGATATAAAGTCTCCGGATCTGGAAGTTGGTGCCGTTGGAACGCGGAGAGGGTCAAAGATCCGAGTTGTGGGCTCTCGGGGTTCAGGAGTTCAAGTGGTTAGCCAACACCACGCAGGGCAGGCAAAGCAAGAAAAAGCAGGAAACAGAACGGGACAGAAGAGGGCAGGACTGGACAGACCGAGGCGAGGCAGGGCAGGGCAGAACACAACCAGACAGGGCAAGACAGAGCAGGGCAAGGCAGGGTAAAACCCCGAACAAACCCCGAAGGCCCACAGAAACATCAAGCGCCTGCACTCCAAGTCCGGCTTCATCGGAGCCACACGCCCTCTAAACTCCGAAACGACCCACAGCAAAACCAAGCCCTGCACATTCGGACCTCGCAGCCTCGGAAAACCCAAACCACCTGAGAATCCCCGAAGCCTAGCAAATAAGTGCCCGGCGAACAATGCGAAGAGGTCCGAACCTGAGCGCGGGAGGGGTAGGCACAAGGAGGGAAGGCGGGGAGGGGGGGGAGGCAGGGAAGAGCGGAAGAGCTAAAGGTTCGGGACTTAGCGTCTCAAGACACAACGTTTACACGAGGTCAATAATTTGGGCTTTTAGGACGTGGAACGTGAAGGTTCGAGGGTCGGAAGTCCTTATGTCATACCAAGCCCAGCGAACCGGAAAAACCACGCCACAACCCCGAACCAACAAACAACAAAACCCACAACGACGCAACCAAGTCCCCGGCGAGCGAAGAGGCCACGACCTGAGAAGACAAGCGAAGTCAGGGACAAGTGCACAAGCCATGCAGTCGACAATCGCATGCAGAAAGAAGCACTGCAGCTGCGCAAAGGTGCAATCTTTTTTTACTCGCGAATGCAAAAGAAGGTGAAACAACAAACAAAATGTGCCGGCCCCAGCCCCCGAGCCACCGATGCTGGTGTTAGGCGCTCGGCAACAAGAGACTTAAAAAAAGCAAAAAGGACAAGGCTTGAATTCATTAATTACAGTTCCAAAAAAAGGGCCACGCATTAACGGAGCGCATCCCGCAGGGCCTTGCATCCACAGCACCTAAACTAAGAGCTGCCGTAGCAGATTAAGTAAAAAACAATTACAACCAACAACAAAACCAAGTGCGATGCAAAGCCCACGGCCCGTGAAACGGGGACGAACCGAAATAACCAAACCCCAACCAAATCAATCAAATCCAATAACTAAACCCAATAACCAAACCAAGCTACCGTCCCCAGTATGTACAAGGGGCGCTCTGGTCGGGGGGTTGTCCTCGGCATCTGGAGGCGAACCTCGCTCCGGACAAACCCCCGACCTTACTACCCCCAGGTCCCCGATTGAAGAAACTAAATTAGCGGCGACTTGCGCGTCTAAAACCCCCATAGGCTCCCAACAAAACTACCAAAGAGAACCAAAGGAACCAACACAAACCCGAATCGGGGACCCCAAGAAAGAAAAAAATAATGAAAAAAAAAAGGCATGCACATGCAGTTAGGGAAAATGGCAAACGGCCAAGGCCCCGCAGAAAAAAAAAGATACCGATATGTTAGATAGGGTGCAACAAGGTGGACAGATGGATAATACCCTAAGGTTAGACAACACTACATAATTAACTAGCTACATACACACCCACCCCCCCCCAATACACAGGTTTACTTACGGGGGGGGTGCTGATAGAAGTGAGCCTTGGCCTTTGCCATGGCTTTGGCCTTGGCGGCCGCCTTGGGCGTAGCGCGCCGGCCCTGCCGAAAGATGTAATTACGCGGCAGTGGATTGTCGCAGCGATCACTCCTCTGTGGGTGGCCTGGCGGCAAACAGAAGAACAACCGAGATCCCCCCTAACCGCCCAAAATACTAGACCCGAAACCTTACATCCCCGAGCCCTAGATCCTTAAACGGCGGACAAAAAGGTACTAAGCCAAAAACAATCCTAAACCCCACAAGCCCAAGCACTGAAACCCTGAACCCAAAAAACCCGAGACCCGGACCCTAAGCCCCCGCATCAAAGCCCTGGCACCAGAACCACTAAACCCCAAAACCCTAAGCACAAAAAAAACCCTGAACCCCATAAGCCCTAAACCCAGAATTCCTATGAAGCCGAAACATGTAGAACCTTAAAACCCCACGAACCGCAATCCCCTAACACACAGAACACCCAAAGGCCTCGGAGCCGATTCGTGATACAGCGTGGGCAGTCGCCACAAGGCAGACGTTCCACATTGTATCGGTTCCTGTTCCAAGGGAGGGGGAAGGCGGGAAATCCAAGAAACAAACAAACCAGACCCTCACCTAGGACCGATAGGGCGGCAATGCCGCTGCCGCTTGGTAGGGCTTTCGTCTCCGTCAGCAACAGGAATCATGACCTCGGTTCACGCATGCAAACAGGCGAGGTCACCCCAAAGCATAACTAAAAAACAAACCAGGTAGGTAGATAGGTACATGTGCAGGTACGTAGGTACATAGGCAGATAGAGTCAGACAGACATAGACAGACATATAGCTATATATATATATATACACATACGTAGACAAAGATATGTCCCCATACAAGCACAACGTCTCTGAGAATTCCCGGAGCAAACCTAAACCCTGAACCCTGAACCCTCAACCCTGAACCCTGAACCCTAAACCCTAGACCCCAAACCCTGAACCTTACCCTAAGCCCTATAACCCAAACCCTAAAACCTAAACCCTGAACCGAAGCACTCTCGAAACATCTGCTGGCACTGTCGAAAACCAGCGAGCGACACCTGAGCATCTCGGCCGGGTTTCACAAAGTTGTCTAGGGTTTTGATTTTGATTAAGGCCTCTATATTATGGATTTGGTTTGGGGTTTAAGGCTGTTGCATCATCGGGAACCCCAAGAAAAAATATTACCCCAAGATATTGTTCAGGCTTCTAGTCACTCGTGATTTTACATATCCATCTATGACACACGCACAGAGAGGTATGTATTCGCACAGATGTATGCGTGTGTGAAATAAGCATGTGTTTGTATGATTATTCATGTGTGTATATGTATGTGTATATATATATATACATGTGCATAGGTACTTATACACAGATGCATAGACACGCACGGACGGTTTGGAGTTTAGGGTATGTGGATTGCGCATATCACGTACATGCGTATCTCTTTATATGGTTACATGTGTTTGGAGATTTTGCATAGACAGATAGCTGGACAGAAAGAGAGGGACGGGACAGCTATAGAGATACATAGGTACATAGATACATAGATAGATAGATAGATAGATAGGCTATGTCTGTCTGTGTGTATGTATGTATGTATGCTTACATATGTACATATATATATACACATATGTACTGTAAATGTACAGCTTGCCCGTGCATTTGCCAGTGTACACATGCATGGTGGGGACCCGTCTAGGCGAATGCTGTGGGCGTCCTGCTTCACTCAAGCTCCATGGTTGCAAACATCAAGCCCTAGTGTCGCAGTGTGGCCACAACGATGTGCATGTCTCGAATGTCGGACGATACAGCCATGAGTTTTGGGCTCCAGGGCATTGTTGAGTCAACCTTGAACACCCGTAAAGAATGCAAGAGAACATTTCGATGATCAAAATCTCTGTACAGCACACCCACTCTACTAGAAACGTTTGGTGACTTGGGGAAGCAGTGGAGCCCATACCCCGTGTCAGCTAAGCTCAGCCAAATAACACAAGAAGGATCGACTTCACAAAAGCCTTGAAGCGAAGAAGTGAGGGTAGCTACACAACATTTGGGCGATACTTGTCATTCGTCTGGGGCCCTTCAACTGGCCTTATTAGTATTACTACTATTATTATTGTTACTACTATTAGTATTAATAAGCTATTATTATTATTGTTATTATTATTAGTGCCTTGGGTTCAATGGGCATCCTGGACACTGCGGGAAACGGAAACACAGGGCTACTTTCAAGCGCCGCACTTGTCCATCTTCTCCCACATGGATGCATCCTTCTCCTTGGATGCTTGAGATCAGCCCAGTTCCCCATGAATGAGCACAGCAAATTGAAAGGGAGGCCTCATTAAGTATTACCGGATACTCCTGGTTTACAGGGTCTTGGGCTCGAACATGCGAATACCAGTCAACATAGCATGACCCCTTCACCCAGCTTGGGCCAAAAGACTCTACGTCGAGTGTCGTTCAGCATGCTCTGGTGTCCGACTGTAGGATCGGGTAGTAGGTGCTTACCATAGGGGCCTTAATGAGTAGAATAGGGTTTTGGGGCCAGTATACTATTTCATAATAAGGAACCTCCAAAATGGTACTGGTAATCATTTAAGCCAATATAGTAGGTGCTTAAGCCCCTTCCCGTTTTTGAAGCAGCATGGACTCTCTTCTAGTGGGCTCCACTAAAACCATACAGGACTGCTCAATAAAGTTCATGTAGACCAGAGATTTAACACCTTTCCGAAGTTCCATCAGTTCTGGCACAACCAGAAGCACGTTCCAAGCGAACTGCAATTGATAGCAACATGTGAAGGGCGTAGATGCTAGTGCTGCCTGTAGGGATACTGTTGCGAAAACAGTATCTAACAGTGACAGTATGCCCTCAACACTGTAAATCCTGCAGTGAGCGCGAGCCAATATCCTCAGCACCTAAACACACCTCCTTAGCACTAAACCAGTAAAATCCTAAACTACAGTCTTAATCCTACATTACGTTCTTTACGGCTCAAACTCCTGAGAGCCAATCTCCTACTATCCAGGCGAAATACCTGAACCCAGCGCCCTGAATCTGAACAGACGAGCTTGCCAGGCAACGTGGATGTGCTGGATTCCTTCCCAAAGGTGTACCCAGTTCACGAGACCTGTTCATTTGCTGCTTAGGGTTTCTTCTGCGGAGCGCTTTCGGGCTGTCGTGCTTCACGGTTTAGGATTCTCGGGTGCTTGAAGGCAAGCTTCGCTTCTCTGCCGCTGCAAGCTTGAGGCAGATGTCTACACTTTTCTCTACTGCCTACCCTAAACCCTAAACTGAAGCATGTTATGTGCGGGGCCAGGAATGCACAGGACCTCGAAACCCCAAGGGGAAAACCACCCAAACGCCACTTAGGGACTTGGAATTTGGGTTTAGGGCTTTCGGCTGTAGGCTTCAGAGTCCCTAAACCCCAAACCCTCATATAGAGGCCTTAATAATTAGGATAGCTAGGGTTTGGGCATAGTATACTATTGTACTATAGTTATAATAACCTCCAAAATGGTATAGGTAATTATTTAGGCCCCAAGATTAGACCCTAATAAGCCCAGCCTTTGCGTTTGGCATGCTCCCAAAAAGCAGAGCTGACAGGAGACAGCAGCGAGGTCCATCCACCAGAGGCCTCAAAGCGGCTTCTGCTTTCGGGGACCAGGGAATTCGTGCCAGGGTATCGAGTCTGAAGGGCTTAGGGCTTTTTTTAAGGCTTATAGGGGTTTAGGGTTTAGGGCTTTTTTTAAGGCTTATAGGGGTTTAGGGTTTAGGGCTTTTTTTAAGGCTTATAGGGGTTGAGGGTTTAGGGGTTTCGGGTTTGGGGTTTATTTACTGAGTTGTCCTTTAAGCCCATTGAAAATTATTTACTGTTATAGTTCTCTACAAAATAGTAGGGGAAATTAAAAAAGATCCCAAAGGACAACCCATTTTTTTTAAGGCTTATAGGGGTTGAGGGTTTAGGGGTTTCGGGTTTGGGGTTTATTTAGAGTTTAGGGATTTGGGCTTCGAGTCTGATGTTTGGGATTCTGAGCTGAGGGCTGCGTGGAATCCATGTCCTTGGCTCTACTTCCCAGAGACTCCAATACCCCTTAATTAGGGAATATTCCTTAAATCATATTAAGGATCCTGCTATAATTTAAGGTATATTCCTTAATTAAGGGATATTGGAGTCTCTGGGTACTTGTCTACCGCAGGTTGGCTGGACGGATTCACTGTCAGGTACTCTTCACCTATACCCCTCAGCCTCAAACGAGGTACTACGGCCGTTGGAGAACCGACGGCAGTTTAGGCTCAGATCCAGTGACGATAGTGTGCCCGGAACCGCAAGGACAGCCAGCACGGTACCAAAGGTTAGGGCCCGAAAGTTCCCACTGAACCAACCTAATTACATGTTAGGGCTCCGTGCTATGAGTTGTCCATCTACGCCATGCAAAGGAGGCTTCCGCAGGTTTCAGTATGCCCTACACCCTAAACTAAACCCGAAGCACCGAAGGCCTCCGCGGCTTTCGTCGAAGAGTCGACGGAGCGATGATCCTGCAGCAACTCCGTGGCACCCAGGCCCCGCAAACCGTAAACTCCCTTAACTCCTTAACCCTAAACCTGAACCCTACAAAGCGGAAAACCTGGGCGCCTTAGCCCGAAGCATAAGCCTTGGAACTGCAAGCGGCCTTCTTGCACAACATGCAGCTTCCTAAATACTATACCTGTAGCCCAAATTTTACACTAGGTAGTGGAGGCTACACCAAATTATACAAGGGTCATGACCTGCCAGTCTGGGGAAATGGGGGTAACCCCAGTGAACCCTTAAAGCTCGGGCTTCAGGTGGCGGGCTTTGGTGCTTTGGGCGCCAGGGTCGTGAGTTAGGATTTTAGGGCTGTCGGGCTTTGTCAAGGGGGACTTGGGGCTTCATTTGTAAGGGTTCTTAAAGGGCTCCTTAAAGGCATCTTTGGGGCTCCTTGAAGGGATCTATGGGGTTTAGGGTTTAGGGTCTACTTAAAGGCTCATGGGACTTGGTGAGTAAAGTTATAAGTAGGTTATAATTAGGATAACCCCACTTAGGGGACTTATAACCCCAGTTATAACCTACTTACTAAGTCCCATGATCCTCTAAGTAGGGTTGTAGTACATGAGTTAGAAGGGGCCTCCACCCTGTAATAGTGACTATAAGGATTATCTTAGGGCCCTATTATATTCCTATCATACCGCTATTGCAGGGTGGGGGCCCCTTCTAATACATGATCTTTATGTAGGGTGTTGGTTGCGCGTATATACCAGGCACGGGTTGTGAATTCACGGCGTTAGTTTGAAGTCTAACGTTTTCTGGGATGACCTAAAACGCCATACAAACTTGTATTCAATGTAAGGCCGTAATAATTAGAAAAGGGTTTCGGGGGTGTCATCTAGAGTTTGCAAACGAACTGTTGAGGAATCTTTGTGCTAATTCTTCCGGCCCCTAATCTTGATTCCATACAATAGCAGACACTTATCCTTCTGCTTCTAGTCTGGCGTTTCGGTTAAGGTTTTAGGGTTTACGGCCCTTTAGAGTTGGCGCAAAGTCCACAGGCTGTATCACGGAAAGCAGCCGATGTCATGGCCCTTGTTTCACAATTCTACATACTAGTCCACGCGGTTTCGCTATTAATCTGCGCAAAACCCGTGTCCAACCATCTGCTCAGGCTGGAAGTAAAACTCCACATCCCCACAATGCAGGCAAAGGCGCAGCGCCCATCGAGGCATCCAGCATCATCTCGTCGACCTTCTGATGCAACCTTACCCTAAACCCTGAAGCCCAAACCTATAAACCCTGAAGAACACTTAGCACGAAGACAGCATGCGTCGGCGGAACTCAGGTATCTTGCAATAATAAAATTGGGCTTCGAATCCGGTTGCATGCAAGACCGCATTCAGAGATCCCAAGCGAAAATGTCTGGTGATACCAGAGTGCCCTGTGCAGGGGCTCGAATGCAACTTGGGTATATGTCTTCGCAGCACCTCTTCGTTTATCTATCTACCGATCTATTTATCTACCTATCTGTCTATCTATCTGCCTATCCATCTATCTGACTATCCATCTAGGAACTGTAAGGGGATACGACTGTTCAGGATCAGATACCACAAAAATCGGACAGTTTCCCAACATCTGCTATTCGATCCCGACGGCCGCTCACTCTTCAATCATGTAGCCCTATCACCCTATAAAGCCTAAACCCTATATGAGTGGTGGCCAAAATTACGGTCCCTTTTTGGGTACCCTAAATATTAGGTGCCGTATAATAATAAGGACCCAAAAAGGGGACCCCAATTTTGACAACCAGCCATATAAACCTTGACAAGTAGCCAGCTTCACAAGCTGGAGGTCCTGAGCGTCGTGGATGAACTGGTAGAGCTTCTGCTTGTCCCAAGCCTGAGGCTACGAAGCTCAAACCACCCTGTGGGAATTTTGGGGGTTCAGGGTCTTATATCTTATATAGCTGTGTTTTAGTCGGCCTCGCTTACTTTATATACAGGACACCATAAGAATCGATCCTGGTTCAGGGTCTAAGGTACCTAACATGGGGCTCAGGAGAGCACAGAGTTTAGGGTCTAGGACTCGGTTTAGGGTTTAGGGTTTGGGGGTTTAAGGGGGTTAGGGTTTAGGGTTTAGGGTTTGGACTTTAGGGATTAGGGTTTAGGGTTTAGGGCTTAGGGTTTAGGACTCCGAAGAATCAGGTTGGGCCTTTGGGTGGGTTTGCATATTTTCATACTGCAGCTATGTGATATATGAAGGAACCCTAAAAAGTGCATGTACTCAAGAGGCCTAGAAAAAACCTGACACAGCCCTGTCAAAAAGCCCAACGAGTCCAAGCACCCTAGCTGTAAATCCTCTTCCCCCGAAATGCAGCCCTTAAGGACCACCAAAAACAGGCCTTACTTAGAGGATCATGGGACTTAGTAAGTAGGTTATAACTGGGGTTATAAGTCCCCTAAGTGGGGTTATCCTAATTATAACCTACTTATAACTTTACTTACGAAGTCCCATGAGCCTTTAAGTACATAGACTGCAGCCTTGGGGGGCGCGCGTATTGGAAGTAGATTGCAATGCAAGTGTTGGGGCTTTGGAGGTTCGCCGCAAGGTTTCCGGGTATCTTGCACGCATTTTGGAATCCTCTGGGGGGCGTCTTGTTGACACCTCCGCCTGCTACAGTTTAGGGTGGTTGTCAAAGTTAGGGTCCCTTGTTGGGTACCCTAAATATAAGGTGCCGTACTATATTAAGGGACCCTGGATAGCCTGAACAAGTGCGAATATGATGCAAAGCAAGCCAGGAAGCGACGAAGGTGACGGCTTCGGTGGCAATTACCTGCATGTCGCTCGCATTGGGAACTCTCTCAACGGAAAAGAACTGAAGTGAGAGCTTAAGCGATGATTGCGGGCTGTTCAGGGAGTAGGGGTTGTTTCGGGTGTGTGGTTGCTTGGGGTCTAGGGTGTCAGGTGGAGGATCCGGAGTTCGGGTAAACAAGACCGACTCACGAAGCAACATAGATTCTGTTTTTCATGTCTAAAGAAAGAGAGAGAGAGAGAGAGAGAGAGAGAGAGAGAGAGAGAGAGAGAGAGAGAGAGAGAGAGAGAGAGAGAGAGAGAGAGAGAGAGAGAGAGAGAGAGAGAGAGAGAGCGAGCGAGAGCGAGAGCGAGAGCGAGAGCGAGAGCGAGAGCGAGAGCGAGAGCGAGAGCGAGAGCGAGAGCGAGAGCGAGAGCGAGAGCGAGAGCGAGAGCGAGAGCGAGAGCGAGAGCGAGCAGGCAGGGAGGCGGGCAGTAAGAGAGTGAGAGAGGGAGAGAGGGAGAGTGTGAGAGAGTGAGAGAGCGAGAGAGGGAGAGAGAGTGAGAGTACTGTCACTAGTCACTACATATCCTTGCACGACGAAACACTTCGAAAAAAATGCATGTGGGTGGTTGTCAAAATTATGGTCCCGTTTTGGGTCCTTTATTGTAATACGGCACCTAATATTTAGGGTACCCAAAAAGGGGGCATAATTTTGACAGCTACCCATGTAGCACCGATGTCCCAGACCCTGAACCCACCCACCTGGTCCTCCTGAGAGCTTTGCACCGGGCTCCAGCTCCTAGGGTCTGGGGTTTAGGGCTTAGGGTTTTTATTTGGTTTAGGGTTTAATAGGGTTTAGGGTTTAGGGTTTAAGCCTTCCGTCAACCGGCTGAGACACACGCTTGCCTACTGCTTCTCATCACTGCGCGACTTTTAGAGCTTAGCGCACGGCCTGCCAGGCTGAGGATCTAGTTGCGGCTTTCGCGCTTTGCTGTCGAGTTGGAAAAGGTCATGGGTGTTCGATGGCTTCGGATTTCCAAAAGTCCGAATACAAAACTACGGCACCTAATCAAACCTTGCACTTAAACCCCTAAAGTCGAAACACTGAAAGCCCCTAAACTCTAACCCCACCCCCCCTCATGATGGGGATTTCCCGTCTTTTTGCTCTGGGTTCGTGGAGGTGTGGGAGTTAAGGGTATGGAGCTTAAGGGTTGCGGTTCGCCGTCAAGACCGACTGCTACTACTACGACTGCGGCAACTACTACTACTACTACTACTACTACTACTACTACTACTACTACTACTACTACTACTACTACTACTACTACTACTACTACTACTACTACTACTACTACTACTACTACTACTACTACTATAGTATACTACTACCACCGCTACTGCTACTGCTACCGCTGCTGCTGCTGCTGCTGCGACTGCGACTGCGACTGCGACTGCTACTGCTACTGCTACTGCCAATTACTGCTACTGCTACTGCTGCTACTCCTACTGCAATCGCAAGGTCACGCTTAAACGGTTGGAGCGAAGCCGAAAAAGGCTCACGAGAAGCAGATCGCGAATCCCGAAGGTGACGCTTAAACGCAACGACCCCACACACCTTATCCCCGAAGGTCCGGCGGGCGCACATAGACAGTGCAACGACTTCAGCAGTTGAGAGTATGAGTAGGGTTTAGGGCAGGGTTTAGGTAGGGTTGAGGAATTGTTGCGGGGTTTGGGGGTTTAGGAGGTACTCAGTCTCCAGAAGGTTTTTGGCAGCGCATGTACCTGAAAAGTGCAAAACTACTCCTATATACCGACAGATGAACTTGGCAGTACGCATGGATCAGTTGCCACTCTCAGGGCCGGTAAGAGGGTAAGTTTCAGGACTCCAACATCTGTGAGCTTAGCAGGCGCAAACGCTAGTTAGTCTTGGTCCGCCTCGGCATAGCTGAAGACTAAACACTAAACCCCTAAACCCTAAACCCTAAACCAGAACCCTAAACCCTAAACCCATAACCCTACACCCTAAACCCTAAACCTGAAGACCCCCAAAGCCACAGCAAGTCCCAAATCACTCGGTTCGCCTGGACACTGTCTGGAGATTTGCGCACAGCTCTGCCACGGATCATGACTCGCAACTCCTCGCTGGGTCCCGTTTTCGGGGATGGTTGTGGGAGGAGGGGCAGTGCACTGCTAAAGAGGATTCTAGGGCCGCAAAAAAGCACATAAGCAAAAAGTAGGATAGGGATATCCCATATAAACCCCATATAAGGAAGCCCAATAAGGTGCTTATGTGCTTTTGGGGTCCGTAAGATTCTGGATTGGATCTTAGGATATCTCGCGGAGCCTCACGGAGCCGCGCACGCTGTGGGTTGTGTGCCGTTTACTTTCGGGTTCAAGGAAACTCTGGGCGGGCTCTGCCTTTGTATACTGCTTATACTACTGTATTACACTGCACTGTGCTTTTATTTTCCTTTACTTTCGCAAGCTATATCCTGTCATACATAGACTAGGATACCCAGTAACCTAAGAATAAAAAGGCCTCTCTTTTTGGTATTGGGCAACTTCATAAGGAACCTAGGACTACAAAAAGGGAATAAGGGTACTACTGGGCATCCTAGTAGACAGGCAGCTGTCGGGTCCAACGTCTGAATGTGGCAAGCCTAAGGCTTCCCAAGCCGAAGCAGGACACCCGATGGACGTCTCGACCCGATGGATGTCTGAAGCCAAACCGTCTGCCACAAAATACAGCTCTAGAGCACAGGGTTCGACAGAGGAGGAAAGGAACAAAAAATCATAAACACAGTGCACTAACTTGCACAGTGGCAGGACAGAAGGACAAGACTACAAGCTTGATCCGCAGCCATGAGAATCCTCAAAATCCTAGGGCAAAATCCGCACGCTCCTGTGGACTGCTCAAGGTATCACCGGCTGAGACTTCTCCCCACCGGCAGCCGCCACAAGACAAGAGCCTAACCATGGGCTGTGGATGCGTGTAGAAGTGTGTGCAAATACATGCAAGCCGACGCGCCTACATACCTGCCTACCACCCATCCATGCACGCATGCATGCATGGCGTACATTCATGCATTCGTAGCTTAAGACTATGTTGAGGAGAATCTTTACCGGGGTGTGTTGAAGGAGCTAAGAGGACCAGCACGCTGAGTCGAACAAGGGCCGAAGCAAGCAAGACCGCTTGCAGCCTGCTGCCCGTCGATTTCATTTGAAGCCTAGCAATTGAGGGTTGCGGGAAGCATTCGGCCTCATCTTGGAACGCAAAGCAAACCAGAAGAAAAGACAATCTTCGGACGTAGGTTGAGAGCAGAGGGTCAAATATGCATGCTACTGGCCCGACTGCGCTAAACAGCTCGGACAGCCATGGAAAGCCCAGCACCAGCAGCACGAACTAAAATCCTGGTGTGCCCGACATGCCCTGAGCCCCAAACTTGGAAACCTGGCGTGACCCGAACATTGAGCCGCAAGAGAGGATCCGGTCCTCTAGACCTCTTTAGCCTACCTAGGATACCCAGTAACCTAAGAATAAAAAGGCCTCTCTTTTTGGTATTGGGTAACTTTATAAGGAACCTAGGACTACAAAAAGGGAATGAGGGTACTACTGGGCATCCTAGCCTCTTTAGCCTACAGTGGCCGGTGCAAACATTGCGGTTGGGATGTAGCATGTCGTGCTATCCATGCGTCAGGCATTCGGACAAGCAGCCGGTGGCAAAGACTCACGGAACAGTGCTGGAATCAGCTCTTGGCAGGATCATGACAAGCCCTAAACCTCACTGAAAAGCCCTGCGGCCCTCGAGCCCTCAATGCCGCCACCCTCCCTGTGTAGGATTTGAGGGGGGGGGGGATCGAAAGCACTCCCGGAACCCTTGGCTTCATATTTCGGGGTTCCTTAAAGGATCCCTTAAAAGGTTCCTTAAAGGGTTCCTTACAGGGTCCCTTAAAGAGTTCCTTAAAGGGTCGTTTAAAGCGTTGCTTAAAGGGTCCCTTGGAGGGATCTACAGGGGCGCTTATAGGGGACCTTTTTGCAGGTTTAGGGAGTCCTTGTGGTGGAAGTTGCGGGCATAGAGCAGAGCCTCGTTTTGATCCAGAGCGACCTCCATCACGGATGGGGGAACTTGGACTTGGGATTCAGCTATCGGCTGAGACACGTGGGCTGTAGAGTTCTAGGAAACTTTGGGCTGATGGACTAGGCATTCAGGTTTCAGGCTTCATGGCTAGTTTCGAGCTCCCTAAACCCTAAACCCTAAACCTTTAGGCTCTGAATCCCCCTAACCTGCAACAACCCTCAACCCCAAACAGAAAATGGAAGCTTCGCCAAGCTACAAGGTCGTCCGCCCCGAGCGACTTCAGGGCGCCAAGGAAGCTGGAGATCAGCAGTGGCAGTAGACCGCCGGAATCGACCCTGGGTTTTACAAAGCCCTGCAGGGGATAAGGGGCTGGGGTCAAATTTTCAAACGGGCTATGAGTCTAGCGGCTAGCGTTTTTGGGGGTTTGGGATTGAGTTCTTCGCATTGAGACGGCCAGAACCTTGTTGCGAACAGAACAAGGAGGAGTACCTTGTGAGACTTACATCTAACCTGGGTAACCCGTAATCTTCACGTTGGAAACCCCCATGTTCGGGGTCACGGCTCAAGGGTGGGGTTCTCGAACCCGTAGCGAATGATTATTTGGGCCCCCTCAACCTCAAGGAACAAGGGAAGGCCTTCCTCCTCCCCTTTCTGAAATTTGGCGACGACCCCATTTACCCAGAGGTACATTCGTAAGGCCAGAAAGAAATTCCGAAAAAGAATCTGACGGGCCAACCAGCAACTAAATACCTCGTAACATATAACCTAACACGGCCCCCTACCTACGTTGGCTGTGTCTGTCCTTGGACCCAAATTGGCTCAAGAGCGCAAGTATTGAACGGAGCAGGGTTCGGCTCTGTGATTGAATTCAGCCACCCACTAATGTAGGGACCTTAACAATTAGAGTAAGTTTTTGGCCCGTTATGCTATAATTACCATTAGAAACCCCTAAAATAGTATAGGTAATTATTCAGGCCCTTTTATTATTGCATAACCAGCGGCCCTGGATGTCTTGTGAAGGCCAAGCATCGTGTCTCTGCACCCTAAACCTCAAACCCCAAGCTCTAAACCCTGAACCCCGAAACCCTTAGCCAGAACTCTAGGATGAAGCGCGAAATGAGGTTCATCCTGGCATGATCTCAACACTAGGGCCTAGACTCGAAATTTAGGGCTTAGGTCCGTCGAGCTGCACATCTTGCACGGAAGAGGAGATACTGTCCGCCGCATAGCGAAGCTGCTCCAGCCATTGGCACGCAAGGCAAACCTTGGTTGAGTTTGGAAGGGCTTCGGTTCTGGGTCCTTTGGCTTCGGATTCGGGCTTACAGGATCTTCGGAAGCTTTACAGGTGTTTATAATGAGGGCATTACACAGGGCAGGTCTGTCTCTCTCTCTCTCTCTCTCTCTCTCTCTCTCTCTCTCTCTCTCTCTCTCTCTCTCTCTCTCTGCTTCAACACATACATACATACATACCTACGTACATACATACATACATACATACATACATGCGTGCATATGTGTATCTGTGTGTGTATATATATATAGGTAGATATAGACATCTGTACAATCTGTTAGCATACATGTATATACATACGCACCTAGTTAACTACCTCCATGCATGCATGCATGCATGCATACATGCATAAGAGAGACAGCGACACAGAGAGACAAAGAGACAGAGAGACAGAGATAGACTGTGCACACCGTATGCATGATGTATGTTTGTTCTGAAATGTTGAACAAACCAAACTTGAATGCCCTACGCCCTAAACCCTATACCCTCAACCCACCCTGCAACCTCAACATAGAAGACCCCTGAACTTGTGAAGCGAGCTTTGGCATGACCCGCGAGCTCGAGCCCCTAACCTCTGAAAGCCAAAAGCCCCCAAAATCAAAAAAAACAAGTAGCTAATCAGTGGTTTTGGGGTTCCCTTGGCTCTTCAGCTCCTTATTTAAGCTCCTTAGCTCCTCCAATATCAATGGTTAGGTAGTGCCTGTAAACTCTGAGCCCAACAACAGAATAACAGAACCCAAACTGCCCAAACGCGGCAGTGCTGATCTCACGCTGCAGAAAGGCTGCGTTGCCCGTCTCGTGCGGGTGTGCATGAGCGTGCATCAGCACCTGCGTACCCTGAACCGGAAACCCAGACTTTAAGCAGTTGGCCTGAGTAGTCAGACTGGGGTTTGGGGCTTGTTGTCCTGGAGTTCTAGAAGATGTACGGGGGAGCTCGGACCTAAACCTCAATTACACGAGCTCTACAACCGAGCTCTGAAGCCAGTCTGGGACGAGCACCAGGCAGGCCGCCGCGGAGGTCGTTGCAAGATCGAGGGCCCCGGCCAGTATCCTCAGCATTTGACATCGGCTGTCTTCGTGCGATTTCGTGCGTGTAAAAGTAGCCACAATATGTAAAAACCATTACAACAAGAAGAATAACAGAAACAACGATAATCATAAGGGCTAATAAGTAATCATGAGGGCAAATGAGTACTTAGTCGCTTGAATCGAGTTTGGAGGTGTTGGCTTCTCGGCTACGGAGCAGAAAGGGTTCAGAGTTCCTGTGAGCCAAGAAGAAGCAGAGCGGCTCAGGACCATCTCGTCCCGAGATGGCTCCTTGAATGCGCTGAATCCAGCAATCGGGTCCGATCGCCTCCTCTTGGATAATTTGTGTGTTTGTTCTGAGTTTGTGGTTTTATGGTTTGCGCGATTTAGGATGAATGCGGATCGCAAGTCGTAAGCTTGTATATAGTAGTTCGGGCTTAGGGTTTCATGATATATGGGTAGTTGTCCAAACTATGGTCCCTGTTTAGATCCCTAATATGATACGGCACCTATGATTCAGGGTGCCACCCTAATTTTGATGGGGATTACAGGTCGTACGGCTTTATATCTTTTGGGGCTTAGGGTTCGGGTCTGGATTCCACGGCCAAATCAATCAACGCAAACAACGAGCCTCAGAACACTACATCAATCTGGATGGTAGATACTTACATGTAGATATGTTCATACAGCGAAGTACACTACATGACAATGCAGTATTTCACACTATATCTCATTGCGTCACTGCCTCAAGTTACACTAAACTGCGCTACCCTAGACTGCATCACCTGCAGAACAACGCTGCACACCACGTCTTTCCATGTCGACTCGCTTCCAGTGCATGGTGTTGCGTTACATTGCTTTGCACGACACTACATTGGGTTACACTACATTACATGGAACTGCAATGCAGATCAGTGCATTAGATTTTGTCATACATGCCACAACATATAAAACACAATGTCCGCCAAATACATGTGTTTGATAAGTAACTACGTGTATAAGCATACCTCTGCTTTATAACGGTAATTATATATGTATACCCATGTCAAAACAGACTGACAGCAAAAGCTACAATGTACCCGCTCGCAAGCTTGCTCAGTTTTATTTGTAAAGTTCTGTTCTCCTATGGCTGCTTCTATCTTCATGCGAGTTGTACTTGTCTACAGCGACTCAACCAAACAGAATGTGTTCATCTCTACCGATATGGATTTACTCTCGTGTCCATGTATTCGTATTGATCTGTATTGTCACACGTATCCGGTGCTACGCAAGAGAGCAGTAGCTACTGTCATACACTGGAAATGGTTATTTCTGACGCCTCTGCCATAGCTTCGGTCTTCAACGGCTTTGGACTTCCAAGCTTAAACACCCATCCACTCGTCCTACAGTACCACCTAAACCTGGAACCCTAAAACCCTAAATCCCTAAACCTAATTCCCTAAACCCCTGAATCCCTAAACCTAATTCCCTAAACCCCTGAATCCCTAAACCTAATTCCCTAAACCCCTGAGTCCCTAAACCCGCCCAGCACCCCGCACACGCTTAACGCTCCTCCGTGCCCAAAACCTTCGCAGCGCTGCTAAATCCCGTGGCCTCAACTGCCTTCCTCGGGGCTCGTAGGTTTAGGGTTTTGGGGTTACCTGTAGCCGAAGAAACCTACTTTTTTAAGGAACTATATCTAGAAACCATAATCAGGAACCCTAAAAAGGTAGGTCTTTCCGGTTACAGGTAGGGTATAGGGTTTAGGAAGCTTAAGGTTTAGGGGTTAGGGTACAGGGTTTAGGAAGTTTAGGGTTTAGGGGTTTGGTAGGACTTCTTAGAGACTCCAAGATCCCTTATTTAGGGAATACCTAGGGTTCCTTTAAGGGACCTATAGGGTTCAGGGTCTTGGGGACTCCGACATCCCTTCACCGCGGAATATACCTTAAATCATACTAGGGATCCTACTATAGCTTACGACACATTCCTTGGTTAAGGGATGTTGGAGTTTCTGTATTCATTGTGGCTGAAAGTATAGGGTTAAGCCGGTTAAGCGTCAAGTCTACAGGACTCCGAGAAGCAATGCAGAAGCAATCTCCCAAATCTATCATCCTGAATGCGAGTCGCTTTGGAAGTTCAGCGCCAACCGAGTTTCCTTGACATCATTTAGACTCATCGTAAACATGAACCTTGCCAACTATCACCGATACTTACTAGGATACCCAGTAACCTAAGAACAAAAAGGCCTCTCTTTTTGGTATTGGGTAACTTTATAAGGAACCTAGGACTACAAAAAGGGAATAAGGGTACTACTGGGCATCCTAGAAGAGAAGTTTAGACTCCAAGCCTACGAAGCGTTGTAGGCAATTGCAGGGGTTTGTGGTGAACGACGATGAAGCCTTAGCATGTATGTGTCTATGTATATGTCTACATAGGTTAAAAAACCCAACAAACACTGTGTGTACTGATATAAGAAGTATAGAAAGAGAGAAAGAAAGAAAGAAAGAACGAGCGATAGCGAGAGGGAGAGGAAGAGGGAGAGAAACTGCTTTCCGGCACCTCACATGCCCACTCTTGAGACAATCCCAATGCAACCCTAATAAACCCTACACGAGATCGAACAGAAACCGACACTTCTAAACGAGCTCCTAAAACGCTGTATACCCCATTGCTGACACTTTTGGTAATATCTTGCTTCCCCTCAACCCGGAAAACCAAATCCTAAACCCTGTACCCACTGACGGCTTGCAGTCGGAATGCTCCTGCGCCCCTTCCAGGGCAACTTGACAGCGGTCGGTGAAGGAAGCTGGCTCTGTGAGGTCCTGGGGTTTGTCGCTTCTCAAGTTTTATGGATTTGAGGGTTTAGGGCTTTGGGGTTTGCAGGGCGGTGTAAGTTTATGTGGCTTTCTTTCGTTGTCATCCCCTTGTCTGGTGACAGTTGTGGAGTCAAGGCCTCACAGTTTAGGGCATGAAGCAGGGCATTACAAAGGCTAGGATAACCAGTAACCTAAGAATAAAAAAGGCCTCTCCTTTTGGTATTGGGTAACTTTATAAGGAACCTAGGACTACAAAAAGGGAATAAGGGTACTACTGGGCATCCTAGTTATTCCTCGAGGTTTAGGGCTGTTGAGGGTTTAGAGCTTAGCATTGGTCCTCGGGCAAGGAAGGTTCTTTCGGACGTTTTGATAAGGGTTTGCTACCTTAGGGCTTCAGGGTTGGAGTGTTCAGAGTTTAGCGTTTTCGGAGGAGCGTTTGGGGTGGTCGGAGCGCTTAGTGCCGTCTGGGATGTCACAGGTTTAGTCGGTTTATAAGTTCCTTAGGTATCAGGGTTTCCTGCGCTGCGGGCCATGCAAAAGTTTAGGGCTTAGGGTGTAGAAGGGGCTTAAGATTTATAGTGCGTTACGGCCTCAAGGAAGAAAAAGCAGGAAACAACAGAACACCCCGCGGTCACAGAACTCCGGAACCCTTAACCCAGAATCTTGGCACAAAAGCCCTGAATCCTGAACCCAAGACTTAAGACAAAACACAAGACGAACAAGCCGGAACCACAAACCCACCACCCCGAACCACGCCCAACACTCACCTAAGCGCCGACGGCATCTCCTCGCGAGCAAGGGCATCTTTCTCATCTGGAGACAGGAGACGAAAGAGTGCCATCCTTGGGTCCAGGATAGGTAGGAAAGAGCAAAGAGGATCCTCAAACAACCAAACTCTCTGAACTCCCCATAAAACCCGTCGAAACACACAGCCTTCAGAAACCAACACTTAAAAGCAGAGAGGATCCCAACCTTAAGACCTAAACCCTACACCCCGACCGCAAGAAGAAAAGAGGATCCCCAAACCCCATAGATCCCTTATAGAACCCTTATGGATCCCCTTAAAGGAACCCCTATAGATCCCTTTATAAAGGGCCCAAGACCTGACGTTCATCAAGGATCGTCTCGGATGGCCCCAGGCGAATGTCGTAGCTCCGCAGAGCACAGGCCTGGGACTTCAATGTGGTTTAGGATTTTTTTCAAAAGGCCCCGGATGTTTTTTTTCAAAAGGCCCCGGATTTTTTAGGGTTTAGGCTTTAAGGCTTAGGGGTTTGGGGTTTAAGGCTTCGGGGCTTAGGCTTCAAGGCTTAGGGGTTTGGGGTTTAAGGCTTAGGGTTTGGGGGCTTAGGGTTTAGGGGTTTGGGGTGTTAATGCAGCTGCCGCACGAACTCATCCACGCAAATGTGGCCGTCACCATCCACGTCGAAGCGCTCAAAGGCTGTAGCCATCACCACACGGAGCTGCCGAAAGGAGAGGTGCTTCTTGGAGCCCACCACAGCAGACAACAGATCGCGCAGAGTTTGCATGAAGTTCTCGCGAGAGATCTCCTCCTTGCCGTGCTTGCTGAGCATGTTGTAGATGCGCTGCGCATCCGCTGGATTCAAACCGACCTCATCATGGAAGCAAGCTTCGTAGAGGCACGCTGGCTTTTGATAATCTCTATCACATATTCCACGGCTAGAGTGGCCGACAGCAATGGCTAAACGGCAACGTCAAGAGAGCAGATCCGTTTTTGGGATGTCTTCAAGGTTGGCGACTCTTTCGGAGCAGCTGACTAAACCCGGTCTCCTAGCACGCCGTAATTCGGAAGACCATACACCCATCAGAATTTACGAACAAGATGCCTGCAAGGTAGGAAACACCCTCGTTCAATACCGGAGCCAACGAGACAGGCAAGCCCTGTAGCGCACGTTGAGCTCGTCCGTGGCCGCTTGTATGAAATGGACGTCGACTTCCTCTGCCTGCCCGCAACACCCTACATAAAAACCCAAGCCCTAACCCCTGGTTACCAGGACCTGCCAGGGCCATCCCTGTCCCACACGGGCATGTGGCATCATTCATCGCGTTTGTTTACATACTTGCTTGCATGCATGCACTTGTACATAGACACATGCGTACCTGCATATATGCTTGCATGCATGCATACCTATATACATAGACCTGTTTACATACCTACGCACATGAATTCAGATCTTTTCTGTATGCGAAAGACTGGTGCGAGCTTATGCGTGCACGTAAATGCCCTAATCTCTCAACGCTGATCACTCCAAATTCCAAAGCCCAACGCCTTAAACCCCAGTTCCTAACACTAAACCCAAACACCTCCGATCCTAAACCCCAAAAAAACAGGACGAAAGCCTCGTTCCGCAAGGTGCTGAACAGGCAGCCAAGCTCAAGCAGCGAAGGTGCAGCAGCTTCCGACACGACCGACATCTCCTGGGTTTCGCTTTAAGGCTTTAGGCTGAAGGCTTTGCGAATTGGGCTTTGGGTTTGAGGGATTAAGGGTTTAAGGTTTTTTTTTAAATGCAGTGGCCTGGTTTAAGGGTTTAGGAGTCAGGGTTTAAGAGCAAGGGTTCCTGGAATCTTAGACTAGGATGCCCAGTAACCTAAGAATAAAACGGCCTCTCTTTTTGGTATTGGGTAACTTTATAAGGAACCTAGGACTACAAAAAGGGAATAAGGGTACTACTGGGCATCCTAGTAGAGGGGCGGGGCTCGGCGTCTCGGGCTTTGGGAGATCATGGCTGGGGAGCCTTGGGTTCTTCGCTTCTAGGGCGTTCAGGCATAGATCTCGGGGTGTGGGGGGTTTAGGGTTTAGATTATTCCGCCTTGTCCGGCCTGGATATGAGGGATTCGGAGCTTTTGGGGTTTAGGGTTTAGGGCCCTCCACCCTACAGCCTAAAGCCTGAAGCCTCAACCCAACCTTTTGGACTTCAAAGCGGGTTGGATGATAGGACAGCTATACATCCTGACCCCTAAACCCTGAACGCCAGGCCAACCAAGCAGAAAGCAAAAGCATCAAGCAGAGCAAGTATCACAGGAACTGGGGGCCTGCAGGGGTAGAACAGCGGTGCTGATTGAAGGATTCTGTTTAAAGGGGGTCTACAAGGGTTACGGTGACAGTATGGGCTACATGAAGAGTTTCGCACACGGGCTTTTTCTAGAATACATCTTTGTGTGTGTGTGTGTATCATACAATACTCTGATATACTGTGATTAAGCAAGGAATCCCATTCCAGTCATTCAAGCTCCGACAAGAAGAACTGCTTGTGCCTGCTAATTTGCCACCGTAGATGGTCCGTGGAGTCAAAAGGTTCGTGTGGTGACACCAGAGAGATCGGATTGGCTTGTGCCCTGTTCCCCACTCTAAGCCCTAAACCCGTAGTCTTTGATCAAACGCAGCCGTACTCCGTCAAGTCTGAAATGTCCTGCACCCCCAAACCCCACGAGCGCTCGCCAGCCAAGAAGCACTGAAGCCCCGAAATCCTGAAACCCGAGGGTCCGATTTCAGGGACTCAGCCCCTATCCGGAAACCGTGGGACCCATCCGCCCTCCAGGGACTGCTCAAGAATTTGGGAGTTTCCGAAAATAGGGGACCTGAATATAGTACCCTAGATAATAGGATCCTTATTATGAGGACCCCAAAATAAGGTACCCCCCAGCATTTTCGGAAACTCCCATTTGGGCCCCAACAGAAAACCCTCGGAATCAGTGCTCCGATCTTCGGGGTCTTTGTCGAAGCCCCCGGTTTTCTGAATTTCTTCACCCTAAATGCCAGACATTAGAGTCTCTGACTCTGAACTTTAACCCCTAAGCCCTAAGCCCCAAAAAGGCCCCCTGGTTTCTGAAACTATTCGCCCAAAATGCCCAACACATTAGCGTCTCTGAAACTTAAACTGATCCTAAACGCTCGAAAAGGCCCCCGGTTCTGAAACTCCCAGATGGGCCACCGAGAGAGGGTCGAACTTGCTGCACCTACGCAGATCTCCGGCGCTGCTCTCCAGGGGCTCGGGGGTCCAGCCTCTCTTGGCCGTTGTCTTGTTCATGTATGCATGTGCGCACATGCACAAACACACACACACACACACAGGCGCATACACACCAAGATATATATATATATATATATATATATAAGTACTTGTGTACATATGTACACATGTATATATGTATACAAGTATATAAGTGTATACAAGTACACAAGTATATAAGTATATAAGTATGTTTGTATGTTTGCATGTGTATCTACATATATATATATATATATATATATGTATATATATATCATATATACATATATATATATATATATATACATATACATATACATATATATACATATATATATATATATATACATATATATATATATATATACATATGCAAAGGGACTGCGTCGCACCGCAGGCCCGAGATCTGTAGCTGTTCTCTTTTATAGCTTTGCACTTTAGGCAAGGTTCTTGCAAGAGTCTCATATCTACTTCAATCGCACTTTCCCATATGCATGCACGCATACATACTCTCTGGCACAGCTTGGGAACTGGGGCCTTACTTTGAGCACTAGGAATGCCCTTTCAGTTTGGGAGTCCGGGCCTGAGGTTTGTGGATAGGTGATATTAGTCGGGAGACCCCTTAAAGGGTACCCTTCTGAACCCAATTTCTGGCAGGGTCTATATCCTAAAGGGTCTCCCTAATCCAAACTCCCAGTGGAGACTTTGGGCGGGTTTCGGACAAGGAACTTGGGGTTCGCGGACGAGATCTTTGGGCAAGTAGGGGTTTAGGGGGTTCGGGCTTAGGGTTCAGGGCCAATTTAGGGTTCGTTTCGGTTTGGGGGGTTGGGGGTTTAGGGCCTAGGGTTTAGGGCCAATTTAGGGTAAGTTACGGTTTGGGGGTTTTGGGGGGTTACAGTTTAGGGTTTAGGGCCGATTTCGGGTTTAGGGCCGATTTCGGGTTTAGGGTTTAAGGGCAACTACAGTTGCACAGTTAGGAAATTACGGGTGCGCGGCTTGGGGTCGAGGGAATGAGGGCTTACACATAGAGGAATCCTAGGCCCCAAACCCTTCAGCGACATCTTTTGTGGTGGTTTGGGAGTTTTGCGTTGGTTGCATCGGGAGATTCCGCAACAGAGTCGGACGCAAGGAGCCCCCTTCAGCAACTGGGCGGTTGTTAAATTAGGGTTCCTTTTGGGTCCTTATTATAATACGGCACCTGTCATTTAGGGTACCGAACAATGGACCCTAATTTTGACAACCACCCAAACTGAATCATCGAGAAAGGGTTCGAGGTCGGAATAGGTCGGCGAACAGCGGAAAAAGCCACAGCACCGAGTCGAAACCCAAATCTCTGCTCCTGTAACTCCAAATCGCACCCCAAAACCCTACACCCCCTAAACCCCTAAACCCTAACCCCTAAACCCCTAAACTCTACACTCCAAAACCCTAAATCCTAAACCCCCAAAGCCCTAAACCCTAAACCCTTTACCTTACAGTAAACCCCATAAAGTTGGAAACCGGATTAAGGCCAAATAGTGGGGGGATTCCCTCTACATTACTCTTAAGGATTGAAGCTATTGGGTTTCCAACTTTCGGGCTTCTACTGTAACTCTGACCCGGAACTCCTAAGCTCCAAACCCTTCCCGTCCTGCGGCTCTGTCCGGGAAGGAGCGCTGGAAAGCCGGTAGTGACCGGATTTTTCCGAAACGCCGGCACGCCTGAAGCTCGTCCTGGAGGTCGTACAGTAAAAGCCAGAAAGTTGGAATATGATTATCCTACATAAACCCTTTATGGTAAATTATAGGGTATCCTACCCTGAAACCATATTCCAACTTTCTGGAGTTCCCTTTAAAGGGTTTAGGTCTGGGCGGGTTAGCTACAGCAACAGTAGTCAGTAATCCCTGAAACCCGAGCCCCTAAACCCTAAACAGTAGTCCCTCAAAATCCTTCGTTGCGAGGGAGTCGTTCTGATTCAGCTGCAAGGAGGCTCAACTTACAGCATCGACACCCTAGCATTGATGGTTTGGGGTTTAGGGTTTAGCAGTTGGGGCTCAGAGTTTGGGGCTTGGGGTTTAGGGGTTTAGGAGGTTAGGGCTTCAGGTTTAGGGTTTGGGAGTTTATTAGGGCTTAGCGCTTGGGTTTAGGGTTTGGGGCTCTGGTTTAGGCTTAGGGTTTAGGGCCTAGGGTTTAGGGCTTATGGTTTAAGGTTGAAGGCTTTGCGGGTTTGGGGTTTAGGGCTAGCATTTGCCCAAATCACTACACGAATGAAGGGTCTCGAGGCTCAAAAGGATCGAAAGCAGTGGACTTCACACTTGTAATGCGGTAAAGCCCTATAGAAGCGAAACCATGCATACATACATACATACATACATACATACATACACACATACATACATACATACATACATACATACATAGACAAGTACATACCTGCATGCCTACCTACACACCCACCTACCTGCCTACCTACGTACAGACATACATACATATGCAAGTTTGCTCTTATAGAACTCCGGCTTTAAACGGAATACAACAAAAGACCTCCCGTTCCAAACAGGAAGTGCTAGCACAGGGGCCAACTAGCTACCAATAATATACAATTGTTGGGGCGCTTGTTATAGTTATAGTATACGAGGCCGCAAAACCCTATTCTAATTGTTTGGGCCCCCATCCCTTATAGTATCCCTTATAGTATCCCTTATATAGGTCCCTTTAAAGGAACCGGCCCTATAGTATCCAGTCCTCCTCCTCCTCCTCCTCGGAGTCTGAGTCGAAGTCAAGATAATGCCGGCCACATCCTCGGGATGCACAACAATTAGACTACCCTAAGGGTCCAAAAGACCCAATAATTAGGTACTAGGGTTCAGGATAGTAGTTATGTAGGTTACTATTTTGGGGAGTATATGATAATTGTGTACTGGACCCTTACGGATATAGGGCTCCGTTCAAGGGCACCTTGACTGTAAAGGGTTCTAAAGGGGCTACGATGAAGGCTCTATGAACATTTGGTGCCTGACCACTTAGAATTGGGGTTGTCTTTCTGCGGGGTCTTTCCTCTCTTCAAGTCAAAGGGATCCCAAAGGCTTACTAGAAGGGTTTCCTGCTTCCTCGTTCAAGCACCGTGGCATGTGTGGCAGTTTGTCGAACAGGTCTCTGCAGGTTATTATGCTTGCACAGGGCTTTCGATGATTCTGAGTACTGAAGAGGCTTATACATTTATACAAAATGCTGCAGGGCCTGAATGATTCGTAAAGGGCTAATTGGGGGATCTAGAATCAGTATATTGTCTGACCATGCGGCCAAGTCGAGGGTTCAACAGGGATAACTGGTTCACGGTTGGGATAGGATTGAACATGTGCATTTTTATTCAACCCTCAAAATTGTCCACAACCAGTCACTGAGCAGACCCAAGACAGAAAGCCTAAACTTTAGAAGCTGCCCACGCCCTGCAATAATAACTATAAGGATTATATTAGGGCCCTATTATATTCCTGTTATACCACTATTACAGGGTGGGGGCAGCTTCTAACCTAAACTTGGTTTATAGTAAACCCCAAAAAGTTGGAAACCGGTTTAAGGACAAATAGTGCTGGGATTCCCTATACATTGGTCTTATGGATTGAGGCTATTGGGTTTCCAACGAGGAGTGGAGCTTGGTTTTGGGCGTTGTAGGTGTTTTGATTTGGGGTTTACGGTAGGGCTTGTGGGTTTAGGGTTTAGGGCCGGGTTTAGGGTTTACGGTAGGGGCTTGTGGCTGACAAGGTTACTTAAGAAACATACTTCTTCAACCGATCGGTGGAGATCGGCAACCTCCAAGAAGCTCTCTGCGCAGAACTGCATTAGGACGCTCCGCCCTCAAGGCAACCCAAAACCACCCAGAAACGATACGAACAGCCAAAAGCCGCTATGTAGTTCCTAGAAAGGCTTCCATTCCTTGCACTTTGATCATCTAGGCACAACCCCAAACCATAGACCTCCCTGCTCTAAAACCCTCAAGGTAGATCGACAAAACGACACCCTTAACCCCTAACCTAAACCCTAAACCCTGAAACCCTGAACCCCAAAACCCGACACCCTAAAGCCCAAAACCCGAAACACTAAACCCTAAAACCCTAAACCCCAAACCCCGAAATCCTAAAACCCTAAACACCCTCGCCGGCCTGTCTCGTCCACGGTTGGCACCACGCGGCTGCTAGTGCCGGTAGCAGCTGGGCCCATCTCCTTGAAGCTTCGAGGGTTTAGGGTTCAGGGTTTAGGGTTTTTGGGGTTTAGGGTTTCAGGGTTCAGGGTTTAGGGTTTAGGGTTTCAGGGCTTAGGGTTTAGGGTTTCGGGGTTTAGGGTTTAGGGCTAAGGCTGGCGTAGGACCCTTGTGGTAATTGTCACAGTAATCACATTGCGAACCTTACCCTAACCCCCCAAAGAATCACAAACCCTAAACCCAAACCCCCTGTAGCAAAACTCACAAAACTGAGGGCCGGGTGCCTCAAGCTGAGTTTAGGTCCATGCTAGCACTAGGCGGGCCCTCAATGACTCCATTAAGGTTCCTTAAAAGGTTGTCGTCTAAAGAGCTCCATACTGGCGACTAAGGGATATTCCGAAACCGACTCGTCGGATCGATGAACAGGATCCGGGCAGACAACCATTCACAACAAGAGTGCGCCTGTGAGGGTAATGACGGTGGCAATGAAGATGTAGAGGATGCTAGTGATAAGGATGGCTACGCTGATGGTGCCGGGGACATGGTGAGGGACGATGATGACAATGATGCTGATGGCTGGCGCTGTTGATGCTGATACTGATGACGGTGACGACGACGACGATGACGACGGCGATGATGATGATGGTGATGATGGTGAGGATGATGATGATGGTGAGGATGACGACGACGAGTATGATGATGGGGGTGAGGATGAGGACGACGACGGTGATGATGACGATGATGAAACTGATGCTGGTGCTGGTGGAGGAGGTGGTGGTGGTGGTGGTGGTGGTGGTGGTGGTGGTGGTGGTGGTGGTGGCGGTGGTGCTGGTGCTGGTGCTGGTGCTGACGGTGATGGTAGTAATGGCAATGGTGACGGTGATGATGAAGACGACACGCATGCTGAAGAAAAACAGACGCAAGAAGGCCAGACTAAATCAAGGATGCAGGGAATCAATTCGGGGTGATCCAGTTCATGCTGAAGGGCTCTTTACAGGCTGCTGCTGCGGAAGGAGATTCTGCGAAGTAGCCCGTACTGGGGGACCGGCCCATGTGCAGGATTCGATTATAACCTACCCCTGCCTATCTCGACTCGAAACTCTAAAGCCGTACAGTAGCCCTTAACTATCACAAACCTGGTAAGAGCAGGGCAGCCGAGAAGCGTGAGACTGTGCATCCGCAGTATCCACAGCAGCTCGGGGAACCTTCTTGTCCTTCCGGACCTTGCGCGGTTGGAACATGCAACATAGAAGCCTCGATGATAAGAACAGCGATTTGGGGTAGATTGAAACGTACTAGAAGTATTGAAGGAAAAGTATTAGCCACTGTTCTGGCGTTCATACTCAGTGCTTCAGAAAATTAGGGGTCCGACATTTGCAGGTTGAGGATGCTGGCATTAAAGGTCTACATTGAGGCATCCTGGCTGTTCTGTACTTAGAGGATCATGGGACTTAGTAACCAAGGTTATAAGCAAGGTAATTAAACTTATAACTACTTATAACCCCCATTAAGGTACTTATAACCTTACTTACTAAGTCCCATGAGCCTCCAAGTATGTCCCAGCTCAGGACAAAGACTTAGGTTTCGGAGCTCATCATGTGAAAGTTCGGGGCAAGTTCAGGGTTGAACTTGGACTGAATACGGCGGCACAGGAGGCTTCCGGCGGGAATGCTCGCCCTCAGCACCCAGTAACAGCATGTGGCATGGCCCGAAAGTCACGACCGCAAAAAAGCTTGAGTCGGCTTGGCATCATGGCTCCAGATAACCATGGGCAGTGTCAAGTAATATTCCACGGTTTAGAGTTTAGGGGTTTAGGGTTTAGGGGGCCCTTACTCAGAGAGAATCCGATCCCGAGAACCCCCACCTGCCGTCGGTATCTCCGAAACGACAGGGTCACGGCTGCAGCTGTCAATGCAGAGGCTGCTGCATGATAGAGCGGCCAGCCTGGGAATTTGACGGCAAGTACTTAGCGCAGGGCTTTCGGTTAAGGGACGCCACGATGCCTAAGCTTAAGCAACGATCCTGAAGTTGTAGCACGGTGCAAGGATTAGGATGCATGCTAACGGATGCTGAATTACGGCTCTTCGGCAGTCTTGGGAACGACAGGTCAACATCAGCACGTATGAACACCAGCGACTCCGAAAGATTCGCATGGCATGCGCCGAACATCAACATGATCAGACTTTGAGATGAGGCCAGCAGCATGACAGTTGGGCTCTAGCTGAGTCAAGTGAGCCGATGATGATGCCGGTGATAGTGGTGGTGATGATGATGGCGTGATGGGTATGATGCAGATAACGGTCGCGATCGTCATCGTCGTCATCTTCCTTGATCGTCAAAGACATCAGCACTGCTGATGATGATGACGATAATGATGACACCCTAACTTGAACCCTAAACCCCTAAACCCCAAAACCCTAAACCCTAAAGCCCTAAAGCCCTAAATCCCTCAACCCCTAAAACCCTACAACCCCAAAACCCTAAACCCTAAAAGCCCTAAACCCCCAAAGCCCCTAAAAACCGTCCAAAACCCCACAACCCCCAAAACCCTAAACCCTAAACGCCCCAAACCCCCAAAGCCCCTAAAAAAACCCCTAAACCGAGCAGGGCCTTGTCCATCTCCAGGAAGCCAAAGGCCTGGCGTCCTGGCCACTATATAGCGCAGGAGCTTTAAGAAAGGTTTAGGGGGTTTAGGGTTTAGGGTTTAGGGTGTAGGGTTTAGGGTTTAGGGTTTAGGGTTTAGGGTTTAGGCCTTAGGGTTTAGGGTTTAGGGTTTAGGGTTTAGGGTGTAGGGTTTAGGGTTTAGGGTTTAGGGTTTATAGACCTTAAGAATTGGAGGAGGGCCTTGGAGGTTCCTTTAAAGGTTTCTGATAAAGGCTACAAGGGCTAAGGTAAGGGATCTACAGCAGGTAAGAAGTAGAATAGGGTTTTGGTGGTTCCTTTAAAGGGTTGTGGTAGAGGCTATAGGGGCTACTATAAGGGATCAACAGTAGGGCTATAATAAGGAACCCTAAGTAATAGTATAGGTAATCTTAGACGAGAAGCTTCCGGGCTTGAAGCTTGAAGGCTGCAGGGCTGTGGGGTTTAGGGCTTTGGGGTTTAGGGTCTATGGTATTATGGTATTATGGTATTATAGTAATATTATAGTACTATTGCGGTATTATTATAGTACTATTATAGTATAGAGTTGTAGGGTTTGGGGGGCTTAAGGGTTGGGGGTTTAAGTTTCGGCACCTGGCTTGACCACAATGGTTCTGCTACTGTTGCGCCATACTGCATTTTCTGCAACTTCGACGATCCTGCCACTGATTCAAGCACAATTCAGTGGAAGGAAATACAGGGGCCTTCATAACTGGAATCGGACCTTTGTCTTGTTGGCTTGACAGCTGCCACAAGAACCTACTATCGGCGGCAAAAATCCGCACTTGTGGGCAAGAGGCTGTGTCTGAAAGTCCAGTGGGCAAGAGTGCATCAGATTTGGCCTCAACTTTCGGCTCCGTCTTTGGTGCACATGTAAACGATGCCAGTATGCTGAAACCCTAAACCCCAAACTCCTAAACCTAAACGTGAAAGTGCAGCTCAGCACTGAAGGATGCCTACAGGATAAGCCACTTGAAGAGAAAAGCCGACACAAGGGATGCTACTATAGAGTGCTCTTAGCACCACCAGACCTGGCAGACCCAAAATCTCAGCAACCCTTCATGAAAATCAGCATCCACAACATCCGTTCCAGCCGACATCACAAGTTTCAATCAGACCAACAATCCTCTTGAAGTATGACTTGCTATGTGATGATGGTGCTTTGCGCTGTACCTACTGCGAGCCTGACGACATAAACCCTCAACCCTATCTACACCCAACCTGAAACCCGGAACCCCAGCCCTCAAACTCCTAAACCCTCTCAACACTAAACCCCCAAAACCCTTCACCCCCGAACCCCTTACCACCACACCCCTATACCCCTAAGCAAGAAACCACCTAAACCCCAAGGCAAATCTAGGGCCCCAAAAAATGCACCTGAGCAAAAATCTGGATAGGGATGGCCCATATAAACCCCCCCATAATGAAGCCCAATAAGGTAGAGATATCCCTATAAAATGCTTATGCTTTTATGCTTTTCGGGTCCGTAAACCCTAATCCCTAAACCCTTTGATGGGAGGCCAAGAGGGGGGTTTAAGATTCTTGGGGTAGGGGTTCCTGAATATGAACCCTATTATGGGAACCCTAATCCCTACTAAACCCCCATAGGCTAAAACCCTTTTTGGGATCCTAGAAAGTCGCCTGCCGAAGCTCCTCGCACCCCGCGGCTCGCCGGAAGCGGGCGTCTCGGTCAAGGAGCCCGGCCCTCAGAAGCAGTAGCTATAGGGTTTTAGGGTTTTGGGCTTTGGAAATTTTATTTGCTGCTTAGAGTTTAGGGTTTTAGGGTTTAGGATTTTACTTACTGTTTAGAGTTTAGAAATTAGGGTTTAGGATTTTATTTACTGTTTGGAGATTTTGGTTTTAGGGTTGAGGATTTTATTTACTGTTCGGAGTTTAAGAATGTGGGTTTAGGATTTTATTTACTGTTTGGAGTTTAGGGTTTTAGGGTTGAGGATTCTGTTTACTGTTTAGGTCACTGTGCACTGGGCCTTGTTCTCTGCTGGGCCCTTTGCTTGAGCCACAGGAGCATGCAAACCATAATGGGGTCCCCTTTAAGGAGTACTATAGGGTTCTATGATAGGGTCCCCTTTAAGGGTTCCTTGCAAAGCAGTCGATGAAGGCTTAGTATGGAAGGGCTGCTTTCAAGGCTTCCTTCATTTTACGTGCTCCTCTTTTGAAGGGGTCTTTAAGGGCTCCTTTCAAAGGGGTCTATAAGGGTCACTTACGCTACCCTCTGGCGCTAAGAAATAGAACCCCCGGTCGACCCAAACTAAAGCCAAAGGTTTAGGTTTAGAGCTTTGGGGGTTTGGGCTTAATTAGGGTCTAGGAGTTCAGGGTTTGAGATATCCCACAATCCCCAGTTGAAGTGCGCCAAGAAGGTAATTAGGGATGTCCCACCCAAGACTTTGTATAATATAGAGGCCTTATTAATAATTAGGTTGAGGTTTTGGGGTATACTCTACTATGTTAATTATAGTAAGGAACACCAACAACAGTATAGGTAATTATTAAGGCCCCAAAGTTACCTGGATGCTTTCTGGCTCCCAAACCCTAAACCCTAAACCGTGCACCTTAAATCCTAAACCCCAAACCCCAAACCCTAAACCCTAAACCCTAAACCCTAAACCCTAAACCCTAAACCCAAACCCCAAACCCCAAACCTCGAAGCTCCTCCACCCAGCCTTCGGCGAGGAAGCCTCCGGCGCCCACGATGCCCACGAGAGGTATGAGAACAGACTTCCTCTGCTCTAGGTGGGCTTTTGAAGATTCCGGGGGTCGGTTTAACATGGCTTTAAGGCTGTAGGGTTGCGGGGTTTCGGGCTTTAGGGTTTAGGGTCGAGGCTGTAAGGTCGTAGAGTTTGGGGCTTCAGGGTTTGGGCTTGAAGGCTGTAGGGTTGTAGGGCTTGGGGCTTTACGGTATAGGGTTTAGGGTTGTGGGGTTTGGGGCTTTAGGGTTTGGGGGGGTAACAATCATACTATATAGGGCTTTGCTGTTGTTTTTGAACATGAACTCGAATGAGGAACCCTAGGAACTAGCAGTAGTAGTGGCAACGTTCAGGCTCTATCTTGTGAGGGTTCAGGATTTGGGGGGAGGGGTAGTTCAAGGTGATGCTGCAAAGGTTCGGGATGTGGGCTTGCTTGGGAAAGGCGATTCTGGGCTTGTTAGAAGTTTGCGCTGAAAAAAGTTCCATGGCTCCTAGCACCCTAAACGCCTATAAGCCCAAGAAGCCTCACCACCTCAACCCTAAACCCGCAACCTTAAAAACTACAGCATCTTTGTACAGACCCGGGTTGGTGTCCGACACGAAAACGCACGAGCTGGCGCAGGGGAAACCGTCAAGCACCTCCCGACATCCGACTCAAAGCAACGCCGGAAGCCCCTTTTAGGGCTTTGTAGGGCTTTTTGGTTTGTAGGAGTTGCCAGGGTTTATTAAGGCTTAAGGCCACAACAAGCCTTACATGAAGCCTAAACGTCAGGGCTTCAGGGAGGAAAGCTTGCAAGCCAGAATCATCTCGAAGAATCGGCGAGCCCGTACTCTGTACTAGTACTTGCTCGGCGTCTGCACGGCCACCCCGGGTGGGCACAAAAGATTAAGAGCCGTCGAAACGCGACGGCCTTGATCCAAAAGCCTTCGGAAGCTCAAGGGTTGGGGCTTTAGAGCACCGTATCCCCCGAAGCATGGTTGGGATTACACTATACCCCCTTAGAACTATAATACAAGTAGTATTCTTAATATTCTCTTGGGTTTTATGTGAATAAACATAAAAAACCCTAAGGAGACTAAAGTACAATTGAACAACTGTTGCTTAGCCCCCACAATGCCCTAGACGAGCAATTCGGGAACCCTCCATCCTGCCTTCCGAGACGATGGGCTCAAATAATGTAGGGCCCAATGTAAGGGCCTTGCAGATTAGAAGTTGGGTTTCGGTGGATTATACAACACCCTAAAACCTAAACCCTAAACCCTCAAGCCTACACCCTAAACCCTAAACCTTGGTTGGGTTGAGGGCCGAGCACTGCACACGCAGAGCTCTTGGGCAGGGCGTATCCCGACAGATCGTCTTCCGTTTTACACAGCGACTGAACACGCGCTAGCATCTGCCGAACGCGCATGACAAGACCCTAAACCCTAAACCCGTAAACACGGAACCCAAAACCTCAAGCACATAGGGCTAATGGTACAAGACACCCAACAAACAACCGTTCAATCTTACTTTTCCGGCTTCCTATACAAAACCCAGGTTTATCTTTGGATTGGAAACTTCTGCTCATTTTATGGTGTCTTGGGTTCAGGGTTAGGGGGTTTGTCAAAGCAAAGCAACCATAGCTCCAGTTAAGATAAAACAAGCCCTAAACCTATAACCTACTGTCAGATACTCTCAACTCTGGATTCCCCAAATCCCCCAAACCCGAAACCCGAAGACCCTCATAGAACCCCTAGATTCCCTGGAGACCCAATAGAAGCTCTCGTGCAACTCTCTGTAAAAACCCAAACTTCAACACGCAGCACGCAGCAACGGCGGAAAGCAGCCCCTGCGCCTCTTCAGCTGCTCCTCGGATTCGAACCGGGACGAAGATGTCCCAACAAAAGCGCACACTCAAACACACCCATGAAGCAAAAATGGTGCTTGTTTTGAGTTTTGAGGTTTAGTGATTGCGGTGTATTCTTCAGACAAAACCGCAAACTCGGGTATGGTGGTTCTTATATGAACTGTTGCAAGCAATGTTGTAAATGAAACCATTCACGGGCATTGGACAAGCGTCCAGCCACAACATGCTTAGACCAAAACCTTGATGGAATATAGGGCTTGGGGCTTAGGATCTGGGGTTCATGCACCGGCTTACTTGGGGGCTCACGGCATCGAACCATAAAGTACCATGAAAAACAACGGCCTTGACTCTCGGCTCGATCTGCAAGTCCGCGACGTATCAAAGAAATGATGACTCTGTGCTTGCTCACCCTCAGAAGCGGTTTAGTTTAGGGTTTAGGGTTTAGGGTTCATGAATCGATAAGCACGGAACCCGACACAAGACTCCCGACAACCCGTACAACCTCAACAAAGCCCTGTACATCACCCTAATTACAATTTTTCCCTGTAACCGCTAACCTTGGACCCTCAACCCTGAACCCTGAAATATCACCCCTAGCCTAGCCCTCGACCAGATAACCCGTCAGATCATCAGTCGCTACGTCACCGTTAGGGCGCTAACTTCATCGCCGCTGCTCTGCTTATCGTATAACGTACTTGGAGCTTCATGGGGGGTTGTAAGTAGGGTTATAACTTAGGCAATATACATATAACCCATTTTAGGGCCCTTATAACCCCACGTATAACTACCCATGAACCTCCAAGTGTTGTTTATGGTTTAGGGTTATAACGTACCCCCAAACGTTAAGCACACCCGAAAGTAAGTTTGAATAAGTGCGCGCCTGGGACCACAGGGCAACTCAAACAGGCTCTCAAACTGCTCCTAGTCTTCGATCTGGAGCCAACTAAGCCAACAGGGGTTTTGGGGCCGAATGTACTATAAATGAGATAAGGAACCCCAAAATTGTAAGGTAATTATGCTACGAAACAAACTTGGACAATCAGGTTTAGTGCCTAAGCAGCTGCACGACACTTTTCGTCTCCTGCAAGATGTCAGAGGCTCAATATTTCGTAGTGTATTCGAGCCGGGTGGGTTTCTAAAGACTATAAACCCTAAACCCTAAACCCCTAAACCCTAAACCCCAAACCCTAAACCCTATAAACTCTAAACCCTAGACCCTGAAACCCACCCCTAAACCCCCAAACCCTGAATCCCCAGACCACACCCAGACAAGGCTCCATAAGCTTCGTCGTGGGCTCGTAGAGGTGCGCGGTCGCGTAGGGTCGCAAAGGGTTCCTCGTCAGCTCCGGAGGAAACCTAAAGCCTAAAGGGCTAATAGGGTTTAGGGTTTAGGGTTTGGGGTTTAGGGTTTGGGGTTTAGGGTTTAGGGTTTGGGGTTTGGGGTTTGGGGTTTAGGGTTATAGGCAATCGAATTTAAGAAGCAAACCCCCAAACGGTCAACTCCCGCAAACTCCCCCACGCTCCACAGACTTTCTTAGTTCTTGATCTCCGAGGTGCCACTCGGCATCAAACCAACCTGAGCTTGGTTTTCGATTAAGGTTTACCTGGACCCTAAGGAACCTACCTTTTCAGGGTTCCCTAATACGATTTCTTTACATAAGTCCTTAAATGGTAGGTTACTTGGGATTAAGGTTTAGGGTTTACAGTGTATAGGGTTCAGGGTTTATAGGATTTAGGGTTTAGGGCCTTGGATTAAGGTCCAGGGTTTACAGTTTAAGGTGTAGGGTTTCAGGTTCAGGGTTTAGGGTTGAGAGCTTTGGATTCGACGGTTCCAGGGTTAAGAGTTTCTCGGCCTGTATTGATTAGTTCAAGGATCAGCGGACTTACTAAATAGGGTTCCTGGCTTCTTTCATCGGAGTCCTAGGCGCTCATAACTCTGCTCCCCAAGTCCTCTGATCCTTTCAGTAGGGTTTCGGGTTCCGCAAGGGTTCTAAGAAAGCCTACTTTAACGGTTACTAAAGGGCTTAAAAGGGGTTTAAGGTTTCGGCTTGCAGGGTTTAGGCGTTGAGGCTTCACTCCGAGAGTTTCATTGACGCTCGATCGAATCCCGAACCCCTCAACCCAAAAACCCGGAAGCCCTAAACCCTAGCCCTAGCCTGCAAGACCCTGAAACAACACCCCACTGAAACCCCTGCAAACCCCAGAAACGCTAAACCAAAAAACTTTGCACAACAGAATTTCAAAAAAAAAAACAAAAAGATACAAAAATTGAAAACAAAAACGAAAGGCTTTGTGGACAGCTGTATTCTGAACCCTGAACCCTAAACCCCTTTGATAGTCTGCTCTGAGAAACTCCAAAGGGAGGCCATCTCATTCCAAGCCTGACACTGGTCAGGTGCCCTCATATCGGCGCCTTAATAATTCTAATAGGGTTCCTTTAAAGGCGTCCTTATGCGGATTACGATAAGGGCTACTGTAAGGGCTCTATGACATGAGAGCCCTTAATAATTCGAATAGGGTTGTGGGGTATATGATACTATAGTTATCGTAAGGAACCCCCAAAACAGTGTAGGTAACCATTAAGGGCCCTAAAATCAAGACCCCATGTTAAAGACTAAAAACTACCCTGAACCCTAACCACGCGGTTGGGTTTACCACGGCGGTTGCGTGCGGGGTTCAGGGTTCTGGGTGTCTGTTGTCGGGTTTAGGCTTTAGGTGGACCCTGAGGAACCTACCTTTTTAGGGTTCCTTAATATGATTTCTTATATAAGTCCTTAAAAAGGTAGGTTACTTGGGGTTAAGGTCAGGTGGGGGCGGGGAGGGTTTGCTTGGGGTTACGGCTTAGGGTGCGGATTCTGTGCTCCAAAGGGATGTGCGGGTGCTTGTGCTTTAGGGTTGGGTTTCTGGGTTCTTGTTAAGGGGTTTAAATCTAAGATGCCATAATAAGGATCTATAGTAAATATTATGGTTTCCAGATCATGGCAGCTCAAATTAGATCCCCTGACAAGAACCCAGGTTTGGGGTGTTTTCGGCCTTTGGGTTTCGGGGTCTAAGGGTGCTCCGCAAGTCGCCGGAATTGTTGGGCTACTCAGGAACCTAGACTTATAGCAAGGAAGTGAAGTTCGGATCTTAGTTGCTGAGTTCATAAGCCCCAAAAAGTGTACTCTTTTGGTTCTATAGTGTATCCCAAAAAACGTAAAGCTCTGCACCTCCTCCAGCCGCTCCGCATTCGGAGGCCGAGCTCCCATGGCGGAGAGTCGCCGTTCCAGCAAGCAAAACGTCGTCCGAGCCTTTTGCTTCGGGGGGTCTTAGGGTTTGTCATTTGGGGATTAGGGTTTTAGGCTTTGGGGGGTTTTAGTGGTGAGTTGCCTTGCTTATCCTTTTCGGGACTTAGGATGGTTTTGAACTTTGGGCTTTCAGGGCTTGCGGATGGCGATGTCGGGTGCAGCGTCCAGGCTTTGGGACCCGGGGCTGAGGCACCTTGCAGGCCGGACATGTACCTCGGTTTAGGGTTCCGGGTTTTCAGGACCTATTGGGTAGGTTTCTTGGAGCCAATACATCTACATGTTAGTATAGCGGTATACCCGAAACCCTAAACCCTAAACCCTAAACCGAGCGCAGCGATCTGAATAACTGGCTGCGACTCTTCCCTTGCATCGCCCAAAGCTACACAACCACAACTGGGAGTTAGGATTAGGGGGACCCTTGGGGATATGGACCCTCTCAATAAGGCCCCTTTTAAGAGAGCCAGAAGTGGGGTTCAGAAGGGGTACCTTAAGGGGTCTCCCTGATAGTACTACCTACACAACCACAACCTTACTTCGACTGCCAAGGCTCTGGCTTTATCGGCCTTTTCGGGTTTAGATGGGTTTAGGGTTTAGGGGTTTAGGGGTTTAGGGGTTGAGGGTTTAGGGGTTTAGGGTGTAGGGGTTTAGGGTTTAGGGGTTTAGGGTTCAGGGGTTTAGGGGTTTAGGGGGGGGGTTTAGGGTGTAGGGGTTTAGGGTTTAGGGGTTTAGGGTTCAGGGGTTTAGGGGTTTAGGGGGTTTAGGGGTTTAGGGTGTAGGGGTTTAGGGTTTAGGGGTTTAGGGTTCAGGGGTTTAGGGGTTTAGGGGGTTTAGGGGTTTAGGGGTTTAGGGTTTAGGGGTTTAGGGTTTAGGGGTTTGGGGTTTAGGGCTTAGGAGTTTAGGGTGCAGGGGTTAGGGGTTCAGGGTTCAGGGGTTTAGGGGTTTAGGGGTCAAGGGGGGTTAGGGGCTTAGGGTTTAGGGTTTAGGGTTTAGGTAGATAAGGATAGGCTTTGGGGGTGTTTGAGAAGTAGAACTCGCTACGGACTAGTAACCAGATATCATCACTAATGACTCAGACTCGTACAGTCTGAGTCTAGGTGAGACTTCAGCACAGTCGTCCACGCAGCCCTCCCTTTGTACATATCGGTATTGCCTGGCACTGCTTCAAACAACTTTCATCCTCTTACATCATCTTAATATAGAGGCCCGAAGAAACTGGAAGAGACTGATTGATTATATTCTACGGCTAAAGTTTAGGAGTTTGGGTTTTAGGATACACTCGGATACACCCAACCGTATAATATCGTATAATGGCACATGTATGATACAGGTAGGATTCGGGCAGACGCTATTGTAAGACACGACCCTGATGACCCCTGTCTTCCACGATCGCCGTTCTGCTGCCGGCGAAGCACGCTGACGACGTGGAACTGCAGTTGTAGTTTCCTGTCGCAAATGGGCCCAAAGGCGCCGAAACACAGAATCCAGCGGCAGCACTGACTCAGCTACTCATGCTTGTGAAGGATGTAAAGCGGCCTCTGGATGAATTGCAGGACCACTGGAACTAGGATACCCAGTAACCTAAGAATAGAAAGGCCTCTCTTTTTGGTATTGGGTAACTTGATAAGGAACCTAGGACTACAAAAAGGGAATAAGGGTACTACTCGGCATCCTAGGGAAACACAACAATGAAACTCGCAACTCTCCGGCCGCAAAGCCTCGATGAACACAAACGCAACGACTCCGTTTCGGGGCTTCGGCTCTTGATGAAGACAGCTGACCTCCAAGAAGTGCTCGCAATGCTGCAAGACCCTGAACCTCAAACCCGAAACCCAAAGCAAAGCACTAAACCCTGGGGCGATTGCCCTAACCTAAACCCTAAACCCTACGGGTGATGATATAAATCCTGCATGACCCATAATAAGGAATATGCCATAATTCCCCATAGCTTTGGGGTCCTTAAGGTAATGCAGGATTTATATCACCAACTGTACGGACCCTGCACTCTGGCCTGCAAGTTTCTTTCACCTCTTCCAGGCCCTGCAGCTTCTCGCCGCATGTTGCAGCAAGCACAGCCCTCGGAAGGGCCCCGCTTCGCCTATTCCTTTAGAGTTTCAGGTGCCCAACATAGGGGCCTTTTACTTAGATTAGTATAGAGGCACTATCAGCGAATATCGTCGCAAGTATTCCGACCTCTTGCCAAAGTTTCGGGCTTAGGGTTTAACCATGCGGTTCTGTAGCCTGAATGAGCGCATTAGGTTTAAGAATCTGTAGAACCCTATATACAACCCAGACCCTAAACAATCAAACTCAGGGTCCTGGTCGGTGTCAACACTCGCGAGCTTTGCTGTTGCCCCTGCTACTGTAGGAACCTGATCAACAAACCTTACCCTACTATTTTGGGGGGTTATAGGCCCAGGGTTTCTTAATCAAAACAGGCCCACCAGTGCGACGCAGACCGAACAAGAAAGCCAATGCGGTTTAGGGTTTAGGGTGTAAGGTTTAGGGCAAGCTGAATAGCAAGTAAGTCGAGGATTGGCAAGCCACAGCCCTCCCATGGCACAATAAGTCTTACTTTAGGGTTTCGGGTTTGACATCATTAACTGTCTTGTACTTTGATTATGAAGTAGGAACCAACAGGGAGCAGTTACAAAATGCACATCTGAGGAACACTCGTCGCTCCAAGTCATCCACTGCCTGTCGCGGGTCGAAGAAACTCGGGGAAGCGCAGAGGCAGTGATGAGACTAGAATGTGTATACAAAAATGTGTATGCGTGGCACACTTGTATATACACATATATAGACACACACATGTACATGTATACGCATATATATATATATATATACACATATATACATATATACACATATATATATATATATATATGTATATATATATATATATATATGTACACACACACATATATATATATATGTACATAATGCTCCTCAAACCCCGACCCCTAAACCGCACCTCCTAACCCCCCGGATGAAGTATGATGAAGTGCACGTGACCATGACCCTCAAATGCCTATTGCTGCCCGCACTGCAATCATCCAGAATAGATGCGTCCACCGGCGCCATCTTCTCTGTGACGCTTTTCGCCTGCATGTCGTCGGAGCCTGTGGCAAGCAAGGACGCGATGGGCACAGCGGGAATCTCCACGCGAAGCGCCCTCTTCGGGCGCTCCAGGTCATAAGATGCATCCGGCACCACTCCAGAGTGACAGGCGCGTCGTTTCCAGCGTTGGAATACCCAACCATGTGGAAGCATTGCATGAGTACACGATGATTCTGCCGTGCGGAGGCGGAACCTGCTCCGACATGGCGCCCGGGAAGTCCAAAGATAGCACGTAGTCGCCGTGGCGTAACCAACCGAGCGAGGCAGGAGCCCCCCCCGCCGCCCGGCGACATTGCCGGGGTGACGGAAGTGACGACCGCGGACACATTGCCTGGCCGGTGGCACCGGCGCCTGCGTCACGGAGGTGGGGAGGGCCATGAGTCCCTAGTAGAGCTGGACATAAAAAAGAAAGACGGCCAAAGGGCCCAAAGAAAAGTGAGATAGGGTGGGAAACGGAGAGCACCGTAGAGCTACATTGAGAAGTACCACTACCTTACTTGCCGGCTACTAAGCAACAATGACAGCACCCAGCCTCGGAACCTTCTCAAATACCCAAGCCGTCCGTGTTCCAACACCTGAGACATGCACTTTGCCGAATCCCCCAAACCCAAGTATCCTACACCAAAGCTGAAGCCCAAACTCGCCCTCCCTTTTTGGTGTTGGGAAACTCTATAAGGAACCTAGGACTACAAAAAGGGAATCAGGGTACTACTGGGCATCCTAGTTATTGGGTCTTCCATTCAATCAAGACTTTGAAAGCACACCAAGTCAAAAGCCTCCTAGAGCCATTTCCCTTCTGGTCTCATTGAAGCAGGGCCTGCCTAATGTACCACACTCTGCCTCGCCATTGGATCCCAAGTGTCAACCCTAAACAACTAAACTAGAAACTCTAGCCCCGTAAACTCTCTAAATCCTACGTTCAAAAACCCGATCGTCACCCTAACGCCTTTATCCCAAAGCGTCAATGTCCCCAAACCCTCGAACCCTACAACCCCAAAACCAACTCCTTAACCCGAAAACCTCAAACCGCGAACCCGAAAACCCTACTCCTTAAACCCTTAAAACAAAGCCGAAAGCCCCTCAGTTTTTTGTAGGCCTTAAGGTGCTCCGCAGAAGGCCAGTCATCGGAAGTGCCACCACAGGCGCAGACCTCCACTTCGGAGTTTACTACGGCTGAGGGGTGAGGGGTTTAGGGTCCCTAGGGCTTAGGGCTTTGGGGTTTAAGGGTTTAGGGTTTACGGTTTAGGGGTTTAGGCTTTAGGGCTTTACCAGGCCTTGAAGGTTTGGGATCCTATTAGGACGAGGTTTCTTTTAGGGGGTGTGCTGGGTTTAGGGCTTTGGGTTTAAGGGTTTCCGGTGAAAAGGGGCTCGAAGCGGCCCTAAGAAGGGCTTAGTTCGGGGCCCTCCAAGGCATCTTTCTTGCGGATTTGGGCCTTTGCGGTTCACGAGCCTTAGGGTTAAACTCTGAACCCCCCCAAACCCGGGTCTTGAGGTTTAGGGTTTAGGGTTAGGGTTGTGTTTAGGGTTTAGGGTTTAGGGTTATTTAAACTCTAAACCCCCAAACCCGGGTCTAGGGTTGAGGGATTTTGAGTCTAGGGGCATCTGTCTTGAGGCTTGACTAGGATACCCAGTAACCTAAGAATAAAAAGGCCTCTCTTTTTGGTATTGGGTAACTTTATAAGGAACCTAGGACTACAAAAAGGGAATAATGGTACTACTGGGCATCCTAGTCTGTCTTGAGGCTTAAGTTCGGCTCTTTGGCGCCGAATTTCGAGTTGGGGGTGAGTTTACTGGGATCGGTCCATGAATGAGTTCTCCCTACTTGGAGGCTCATGAGACTTAGCAAGTAAGGTTATACTTATAACCCTAGTTACTAAGTCCCATGGTCCTCTAAGTACACCCTAAACCCTAAACCCCTCAGCCCTCTCTCCGCAAAGCAAGCTCTGATTTAGAGGCTCGGCCCCTCAAACGCGACCTGGACTACCTATCATCATGTCCCAAGCCTAAAACCTGAATAAAGCTGAGACGACGGCGTACTAGTATTTGGGTACGAAAGAGTGCGTATAGTTCTCTGGTTATTTCGGTGAAGCCCAGGGGTAGTAATTCATGCATAAACAGGCCTCTAGGACACTTGAAATTGCTCTTGTGGGAGCCCTGACAAACTGGTCCTATCATATCCCCTCCGTTCCTGCGAGTCTGGGGTTGCGGGGGCCTAGGGCTTAGGGATCTGGGGTTTAGGGTTTAACGGATTAGGCTTTAGGGTCAGGGGTTTGCGCAAAAGTATCGGTGGTACAGCCAACACCCTCCTGGCACGACCATTCCACTACTCGTCTGCGAGGCCTCGCGGCTCAGGCGGCGTCTGCCGCAGGCACAGGTCTCAGGGCATCGGTGCGGGCGTGAAAGCACGAGCAGAACCCTAAACTTACGGTTAGTAGGGAATGGAGGAATGGGGTACGATTATAACTACTATGTCTACCATTCTTCCATTCCCTACTAACCAAAGGTAGGTAAACCCTAAACCCCAAACCCCAAGACAGAACTGACACCCAGGCACGACTCAGAGTTGGAGCACTGCATGACTACAGCAATATCCAGCACGGCCAGAACCCCATGCCTCCACTTGGAGGATCATGGGACTTAGTAAGTAAGGTTATAAGTACCTTAATTGGGGTTATAAGTAGTTATAAGTTATAAGTACAGTTACCTTACTTATAACCCTAGTTACTAAGTCCCATGGTCCTCCAAGCACCCCCTCCCTGTCCTGAAAACGTTTCGGGAATCCTTGAAGGAGCCTTTATTCGCGGGACCTTTGCGGGAGCCTTGGTGGGGAGCTCTGAAGAATCCTTATCGATCCTGATAGGGTGGTGAAGGGTTTGGGGCTTAAGGCCTGAGAGCCAGAACTTAGAAACCACTTCTGCGAGTCAGATTGTGCGTCTACTTACCTTTGGTTGGTAGGGAATGGAAGACTGGTGGTAATAGTAATAGTAGTTATAATTGTACCCCATTCCTCCATTCCATACTAACCAAAGGTAAGTTTGGGGTTTCAGGCTCCAGACAGGGAGAGCCAGACGGTAGCTTCCTATCCGATATTTTCAGGAGGATCCTGACAACTCGTGGGGTCAATGATGCAACCATGGGTTTTTGGAGGCGTCTGTGGGAATATCCGGGCCACCCGCCAAACATGCAGCTGCTAAGCCTGATCCTCTAAACCATGACAAGACCTGCCCTATAGTAAGCTCTTAACACGTAGCAAGAGCCTGAGTTCAGGACCCAGCCGGCAAGCTCGTCGTGGGGCAAGCTGCACAGCTGGCAGGTGCAAAGGAAGAAGTAGCGCGCGCGGAGGAACTGCTGCCTGCATTGGGGCTCACTGAGGCAATGGAGGTTCTTTTCGCTCACAAAAACTAGAGTCGGGGCTGGAAAAAAATTCTTACCTTGCTTCAGTGTGTAATCCTACAAGTTGGGGTGGTCACATGGTACATGGCCTTTGGGGACAAGCTGGTGCGACATACTAAATACTAAACCCAAGTCCGAAAGAGGCCTTAGCGAGCGTTTACAAAATGTTCCGGCATAGTTCCTGGACCCTATACCTATGAGATTCGCGAGCGGGCACTGGCAGCCCGTCTTGTGGCCCTCATCCGAAGACCCAACAAACCTACTAGCCCCCAGCCCCAAGCCTAAGAAAAACCCTAAACCCCTGGACCTACAACGCTGTAATGTAGGACCTTGTAGGAACCTGATTAAGAAACCCTGGGCCTATAACCCCAAAACAGTAGGATTCATATAAGGTAATAGAGGCCCAAGGTTTCAAAAAAAATCAGGTTCCTACCTTGAACAAAACAGATTCTATGATCCCAGCCTGGCAGACTTTGACATCAGAGCATCTCCTAAGTAGGAGATGCAAACCTGCGGCATGGTTCGCTTTTTCTGCGGGGTTTGGGAGCGTGCGGCTCTTGGGGATGTGTTGGAGGGTTTAGGGTTTAGGGCGAAGGGTTCATAGGATTTTTGTTGAATCTTCAGGGCTTTGGGGTTTAGGGCTCAGGGTTTATGGGGCTTCAAGGGTTTATAGGGATTAAGGCTTAAAGAGTGCCTTTGGTGGGCTGTAGGAGCAAGGTCCTGGAATGAGGCTTGATCCACTTCCGGTTCATAATTAAGCACCAGCTCAGAAACCGGAAAACCCCAAACACGAAGAGCCCTGACCAAAACCCTAAATCCTGAACACCAAGACGGCCTGCAACCCGAACTTCAGAATCGCTGGCCTCTTCGCCGGGTTCAATTGCCGTGAGGAGGCGCACCTTCATCAGACCATCCTTTGGCCCAGAGACTCCAACATCCCTTAATTAAGGAATATACCTTAAATTATAGTAGGATCCTTAATATGATTTAAGGAATATTCCCTAATTAAGGGGTATTGGAGTCTCTGGGGCCCCAGGGAGACAACGACGGCTTTTAAAGTGGTGGTTTAGGGTGCTCAGTAAGGTTTAGGGCTTTTGGTTCAGCAGGGGCATGTTGATTCAACTTCCAGGGGTTGGTGTCTAGAGCTTTGTGGTCCAGAGATTTCACGGGTGATGTCTCTAGTTCGCCTGTCGTGATTTGTTGTTGCCACCCTCATGACTACTACTGATGTTCCTGCTTTGCAGGGTAGTAGTCCTACTGACGACGGCACGGAGGACGACATGAGACTGCTACTGATCCCGAGTTTATGTTGATGGTCGTGGTCAGGGCATTTTGCTAAACAGATGGTGCTCGTGTCCGCGATCGTGCTCGTGTCCGCATGCAGATGCATTGCTTCCGAACTGCAACAACAACACCCAAGCCTTACGAACTTTCCAAGGTCGCCTCCACAAGTTGCCAGAGCCATAGAAATGACAAGACCAATTCGTACAAAGCCGATGGTCTGAAATGTTCTGCGGAAGCCCTAATACCGTAACCCAATTGAGCTGTTGAACATCTTCCCCCGATGTGAACATGGAACCCTAGACACTTGCATTCGCACGCCGGTCGACCAACCCCGAAAGCCATGAGCGACTAGATCCCCAAGAGAGTCTCAGCATAAACCCGAAACCCAAAGCCCGAAGCCCTAAACCCTGGGCCCTAAACCTTGAACCCCAAGCCCCAAGTCCATCCGAAAAACCTGGGTGAGGCCATACTCAGCATTGGGTGCGCAGGAGTGGTTGAACCTGCAGAGCTCAAATCAAGAAAGGGCTGAAGAGCGCTAAGAGCAAAGGGAATACCTGGACCCCAAAAGTATGTAGAAGAAAAGCCTTTTTATGGGTATTGGGCCATTCTTTTACTTACCTTGGGAGGTTTAGGTAGCCCTGTAAAGGGATCGCGGCTTGCAGTTGCGGAGAGCTAGTATAGAAGGGTCCAAAATGCCTTTAGGCTCTACTGTTCGGACCTGAACAAGTACTAATTTAGTGTATATATATATATATATATATATAGATAGTGTGCCCATGCCTCATGCATGTGATTTAAGGTTTTCAGGCTGAGGTAGCTGAAACCTTACGAGACGATAAAGCACTCCTACAGCCCCGAACTGTCACTCTGGATCCCTAGCACCGACAATCTGATGTTTCGTCCTTCCATCCTACGTTAGAAGAACCCTGGGGCTTGGGGAAAAAATGAAAGCCCGTAGTTAAATCCCTTGATCCCCTGAACCCAAACACCCTGAGCCCTCAAACTCGTAACCCCAAAGCCACGACGCTAAAACCCAAAACCCTGAAAACACCCGGGCACGAGCGCTGAACCGGGCTTTTACTTTACCGGGCGGGTTTCGCGCCAAGGCTTTAGGCATTTAGGGGTAAGGGTTTCGCTCCAGGCAGAAGCTAAACCCCAAACCCTAAACCCTAAAACCCTAGACCCTAAACCCAACTCCAGCCATTTACGAGAAACCAAGAATCGCCTCGAGCAGCGTTCGTAGATGGCCAACCCATCCTCCAGGGTGCAAAACCTCGTTGCTGTTCGGTCGTTGGAGCGTCTTGTCAGCTACAGCCGGAGGCTCGCAGTCTTTAGTGTGAGGTTAGGGGCTTCGGGGAAATCATTTCCCCGGTTTCCAGCCCAGTCCAACCCAACCCCGCCGCCCTTCTGGCGAGATTTTGCGGGGGTTGAGTTCATTCGTTTTGGCTGGTTTGTGTGTTATTTGGCGTGCGTGTGGGTGTGGGTGGCTTTCCCACCAAGTAGGTAGTAGGGGAGGCTGTCCCACGCAAACCCCGAGAACAAGTGTTTGCTGCGGGCGATTGTCAAGACCTCTACACTGACAATTTGCACCGGCTCTATCTTCATGCGGCGTTGCATTGCAAAGATTATTGTTCACCCTGTCTCCTACGAGCGTCACAAGCCTTTCACAGCCCGTGCAGACATCAACGAAGCAGCCAAAGTGTTTACTGAAATGTCCTGATTAGGGGTTCGGTGTCAAGGGTTCGCTCCATTAGGTTTTGAAAATGTGCCTGCACTGAATGAAACCGTATAGGTTTAAGGCTTCGGGTTCGAGGCGCAGGATGAAGTGACGTGTGGAGCTCAAGGCCTCCCTGTAGTACCCGGCCCAAATCGCCCTAAGCTTCTTCGAAGGCCCCAAAACCCTAACCCTAACCTCCTCAACCTTAAACCGTAGTCGACTCAGACTCACCAAGTAAATACTGGACACATTGCTAGACACACCAAGACACGCATTTAGATGCGCGATGGCGGCAGCTTTGGCCGCACGCGCGCCTGCCTCGCGCGTTTGGGGCTTCGTAAAGTTCGCACTCGGGTCTGAGTTTCGGGTTTAGGGTTGGCAGAGATCACACATGCCGAAAGGCGTCTGAAACTCCTCAAAGCCGCTGAAGACCCCCCCGGCAAATAAAAGCAAATGCCCACCCCCGACAGACCCTCAACCCTAAAACCCTAAAACCCGAAACCCTAAAACCCTAAAACCCCTAAAACCCTGAACCCCTAAAACCCTAAAGCCCTAACGCCGTCCTCACCCCAAGCACCAGCCCTCTGGGCTGCAGCCGCGGCCATCGCGTGGAGCTTGCGCGGGGCCTTCGGAGAGTGAGATGCCCGGAGGTTCATGCGACTTAGTAGGTAAGGGTTTTAAGTGTTTTAATTGGGGTTATACGTGCCTTAATTGGGGTTATAAGTACTTTCATTGGGGTTAAAAGTACCTTAATTGGGGTTAAATTTACCTTAGTTGGGGCTATACGTAGTTATAAGTATAGTTACCTTGCTTATAACCCTAGTTACTAAGTCCCATGATCCTCTAAGTGCTCGGAATCCTCGGAGTCCTGAATCGTAATCACTGAAGGTTTAGGGGGTGTAAGGCTCAAGGTTCAGGGCCTTAGGGTTTTAGGATTGAAGGTTTTGGGGTTTATGCTTTCTGAAGGATTAACTCATCCTGCGAGGTTTAGGGCTTAGGGTCATTCTGCAGGCTTCAGGGGTTGGCTGGGGCTTTGGACTGAAAGTTCTAGGGCTTGGGGATGCGAAGAAGCATCTGGAGGCTCACGTGCTCCGGTTGCTTGGAAGCCACCAAGGCTTTTGAGGCTCAACCTGTTGCCTGTTCGAAGTATTATGTATACGGTGCCGCAGAAAATACAGCACAGCCATGTAGACGCTACATTCCAGCATCCTTGTTACCGCCAGAATACTACGATCCTCAATGCGTTACTTCGACCCTGATACGCTGAGTTAAACCGACCTCTAGCTCACCCAGAACATTGAACCCAAAAATATGCAAAAAACTATATCCCCTATGAAAACTCTGATGCTCTACATAAGGGCCCACATTTCCTCAGCCCAAGTCCCCTGGAAAAGATCGTAAACACCCTTTCCTCTAGATCCCCTGCAACAAATCCCGAAAGGCCGTATCAAAACAAACAGAGGCCATGTAAGAGCAAAACCATAAAGCCCCTTTTACAGTCGCGTAAAGCACCCTTAAAGCGTGGAAGCTCCAAAGCCCCAAGCCCTCTAAAACGGTCTAAACCCAAGGAACAAAGCGAAAGCCTCGAAGTCGGACGCCGGGTCGGCACCGGCCTTGCTCGGAGCACGGCTTCTTGTGAGGAGGGGAGGTAAGGTTTTTTTTTTTTAAGCCCCTTTTTGACGTCTGCCAGATGGTCGGCTGACCTCAAGGCCAACAATGGCCAGGAGACCTGGGAGCCCTTACCAGCTCCAAAAGCAAAACACCCCTCGCTCAGACGTCACCCTGGTACCCTGCCACATCACACGTAGGCTCACCCTTGTCAGACGGCATCATCTGATCCATGCCCATCCGGTTTGCCCTCAGGTTCCGCATGGCCCAGCAAGGTGAGTGTATCCTCCTCCATATTCGAAACCGCGTACTGGTTCTGGATCAGGTCAAGTACCCCTGCCCCGTACTGCCGACTCACCTCTTCATCCGACAGCTCCATTGCCCGCCACCGCCGATACACCTCATTGTACTGCTCCATGGTGATGTCATCCATTTCCCCGCCAGTGTCGTTGTCCATCACCGTGCCATCCACCCCGGTTGGCAGCAGCACCGTGTCCGCCGGGAGGTAAGGTTTAGGGTTCAGGGTTCAGGGCTTTTTATGGATTACTTTTCTCACTGCTGTTACGAGTGCGAAATTCCCTACAAGTGAAGAGCCTGCGATTGGGGCCTGCTGTTTCACCCATGAGAAACTACCAACCCATCTGATGGCCCAACCAATCTGGCACAGCTTTTGAATTTCCGCTCTGTTCAGGCACAGCATCCTTCACCAACACAATTTACTGACAGCATTGATCAAGCATACGTTTAGGACTGGCAATACCTCTGGGCAGCGGCCCGTTTAGGGGTTTTGTGGGCTCCTTTTCTTACTGCTGTTACGAATCTGAAATTCCTAGTTTAGAAAGAGCCAGGGAACTCCAAAGTTGACCCTGGCATGACCCAGTTGAAGCGAAACCCCAACTGTATAGACCCCACAGCGGCAACACCGATGACTGGACATGGAAACCATGCTAGCTAGCTATAAGCAACTTTCAAGCAAAGCTTGCTTTGTTACTTGAACCAAAAGCTGAGCAGGTGTGCAATTCGCTTGCGCGCGAATAAAGACCAGGGTTCCCGAATCAAGGCTTAGGATGGTCTGCTGGCTTTGTTTTCTTCTGAACAGGTCTACCCTTTCACAGCTCGGTGAGCTGGCATCGGTATAGCCTTTCGGCTAGGCTCATTTTGTGCCCGGCTCTCACTCTTCGTGGCCGGGTCTGCAGAAGCTCGGGTCCTGCCAGCAACTGAGAGAATGTCAAGCAACAGCGTGTTCGGTGGGCTCTACAGCTGCCTGCCTACGAGCTGGGTGTCGTCCGTCACGGCGGCGTTGCTATGCAGTCAAAACACACAGTCATGGCCGGCCTGGAACCCCCAGCCCCACCTGTCCCCCAGGTCACCCCAATCGTAAAACTCCCGGCTCTGGTTAGCCGGGTTCAAAATCAGGTCCCAGTCACAAAGCTCCTGCGGCTCCGCCCCCCCCCCCCCACCCCCCCCAATTCTCGCCCAGCCAATGCCGTTCCAGCCCGCCAGCCTCCGCCACTCGCCGCCACCACAAATTCTAAATCAGGTTGCCCCACGCAAAATTCACCTCGCCCCGAACCCCCTAATTCAAAGTCAAGCTCGTCACTAAAGCCTCCCCCTCGCCACCAATTCAGAATCAGGTTCCAAAAAACCCCCGACCCCTGCCCCACCCAGCCCAGCCAGCCGACCTTTGTTCGAGACCTGCAGCCCCTGTCACCTCCCCAAATCAGGGAAGGGTTTTGTGAAACCCTTCAGGCTCTGAAGAACGCTTCCGGTCCTGAAGGGTTTAGCGAAACCCTTCAGATTATGAAGGGTTTGAGAAAACTCTTCAGGCTCTGAAGGACCCTTCCGGCTCTGAAGGGTTTAGAGAAACCCTTCAGTTTAGAGTTTAGGGACCAGAACGACTCGTGCGTGGTTGAACATTTAGGGTTTGATAACCAGCCCCTGTTACCCCCTCAACTCACCTCGCCCAGCCCGCCCAACAAGCAGCCCAGCCCAGCACCCAATTCCCAAAATCAGGTTGCAGTCAGAAAACCTGCTCAAAATTTTCGCTCAAAGCGTTATTGGCACCCAAACCCTTAACAATTTCTGTAAAACCTAAACCCTGGTGTGTAGGGTTTGGGTGAGAGGGACATGGCGAGGTAGCCCTGAACCTTGAGCCCGAAACCCTGTGAACCCTCAAAAACAACCCACAATTCTCATCCTAAACTTATAAACCCCTCATAAACCCCTTATAATAACCCTTTTCGAAATCCTTATGCTCAAACCTTATAGAGACCCTTATAAGCAACCCATTCTAGTGACCCCAGTAGAGGCCTAAGCAAATCCGAACATGGAAAGCTCTGAGGTCCAAACGCTGAGGCTCAGCCACGCCTGGCGAGCCGGTGGGCTGGAACGCAAGAAGGCGCTCACTGCCTCTGCAACGCACCACGCTTAGGAGATGAAGGGGAAAGAGGGCTCAGGAATCAGGGTTTTACGGCTTTTTTGTTGACGGCCTTTTCCCCTCAATCAGTCAGGATCGTGGGTGTTACGGTTTATAGCTTAGGATCTGCGGCAGAGGGTCTACTACGCGGCTACACACTAACCAGCCAGACCCTCCCACCTTAAGCGTCAGAGCATACCCAGCTCAACCCCCAATCCTACATCGGGATTTGAGAAAGCCTCAGGGTTTCCGAATTCCGTCTCCTTCGATGGTTTTCGATCAGCAAAGCACTCAATCGTGCGCGGAGGTACAGCACTATGTAAGCGTAGGCCGCCTGATCGGACGTGATAGCACGCGATGGTGTGAAATCAAAAACTGCAACCTGATATGCATGGGAAATAAATGTCAGCTTTGGTGTACTACGGAAAGACAGAGCGCTGACCAGAACGTCATAAATTGCATCCACACATACAGACATACCTACATACATACGTACATGCCTACGTGCATATCTACATACATACATACATACATACAGACAGACAGACATAATTACACCTCCCTCTCTCTCTCTCTCTCTCTCTCTCTCTCTCTCTCTCTCTCTCTCTCTCTCTCTCTCTCTCTCTATCTATATATATATATATATACATTACCATATATGTATATATTTATAGATATGCATCCAAATATAAGCCTAAGGAGTATGCTAACTGTGCGCAGCATTAGTTCGATGCATCCAAAGTCTATAACATAGACGTGTAGCTCAACGTACTGAAACAATCAGTGAACACCGAAAAGGAGCGAAGAAGTATAGACATCTTGCACTCATTCAATGTGGGTATCGGTTTTGGGATTAGGTATCGGTTACCCGCGAAAATTAAAATTGTCCTCCTGTAGTACTGACACACGAGGCCATAATGACGCCTGTCGCTCCTATTTGATTTTCTGTACATGAGCATGCATGCAGCATGCACACAACAGCATGAAGGAAAAACATGCAACAATAAACAAAGAAACGCTTGGCTGGAGGAGGGAGACTGTGTATGCACATATGCACCCACACGCATGCATGCATGCATGCATGCTCTACGTATGTATGTCATGAAACCCTAAACCCTAAAGCTTCGAGACGCACTCGAAGTTCATCGACGCAGGGCAGAACTCCTAACCTGCAAACGTAATTACGATTTGTGGCGGCCAGGTATGGACCCAGAGCTTGTCGTGTTTCTTCTTGGCGGAGCCTCGGCGGTGGAGTTCTCGAGACCCGGCTCACAGCCATCCCAGCGCGCGAGGGGAACCTGGGGAATTGGGAGGGTTCTAACTATCAGGACAATGAAACAGGAGGGTTGAGAGATTGAGATTTAAGAACACGAAGTCTTTTGCTGTCCGAACCGGGTGATGATTACCAAAAAGCTTCTTCAGTGGCATTGCCGGCATTGTTCCCACCTCACCCTCGACCACGGCATGGCAAGCTTCCAGCGGCCTCGCGTCTTTCGTGTTTCGTCTGCCGTGTCACTTGGGATATTGAGATTCGGGTTCAGGGGTGTAGGGCGGGCTCAAGGTTCAGTGCTCGCTCGCGCAAGCGAGCAAGCACGCAAATTTTGATAGAAGCACGCACCTCGAGCGAGCATGCATTGGATTTTTCTGAAATCTAACCCCGAACCCTAAACACCTCTACGGCGAGTCTGAGGCCTCAACAACGCGTCGATTTTGCTCGCTCGGGGAGGGTGCTTCTAACAGTTTTGGGTGCGAGCTGGCGTATGAGCGCTGCTCCGGCGCGCGTGAGAGCGAGCTGCACAATCGAGCGAGCACGCAGTTGTGCAGGAAGCACACAACTCGAGCGAGCATGGCTAGCGAAAACCATGACTTACTAATTAGATAGAGCAGGGTGTTGGAGTATATCACAGTATTCATCATATTGAACCCCAAAGGAATATTATTCGACAGCCCTGCAACTCCAAACTCCCGACACCCACACGACTAAGGCTTTAGCGTCATCTGTGCTAGAGTCTGAGGTCATTAGGGGTAAGACCCCAGAAACCCTAAACCTCCCCGCAACTAATAGCTCATGAGTTGCTGCTGTGTAGATACTCGAGAACAGCCTCGCCCACACAGCCAAAGCAACGCATGCAAGCATGTAATAATATTGACCTGAGTACTAATGACTATAGGAACGAAACAATAGTAGTAATGACCATGATGATAACAATAGTAATACAAAACCAATAATTGCCAATAATGGCAATAGTGATAACAATAGTAGTCGTAACAATATTCATAACAATAATAGCAACAAGTTAAGTCGAGTAGCAAATGCTTTAATTATAACGTTAACAACAACGATGAGAGTGAAAATAATGACAATTGTAAGAATACGTAACATGAGATCTAGTAATTCATCCTTGCAAGAATACTGGTAATAGGCCTAAATCCCAATCCCTGAGATGCAGATGCCCACATTCAGAGACAGAGCCACAGACTCATGCCGAAACTAGTTTGATGCCAGCTTGTCAAAACAACCTCTCAAGCCCCAAACATTTAATATGGGCGCCTTAATAGTTACCTATACTATTTTGGGGGCTCCTTATTACAATTGTAGTATAGTGGGCCCCAGAACCGGTCCTACCTCTGAGATCATGCTCTTTCTCTTGTGAGGGGTAAAGGGCTTGCGAACCACGACTCTTCAAACCCTATTCGTTGGGTACGGCCCCCACTCAGTAATAGTTGGGCAATCTTCATACTGTAGTATAGATATATTAGGACCTAATTAGTAGCCCTATGATAGACTGTTACTGTATGGGGGCAGTACCTAACCTATTCCAATTATTAAGGCCCCTATATTAAACCCCACACCTTTAAACCCAGCGAAGAGCCCGCCTGGAGGCCACCCAGCACAGCCCTGCGCCTTCACTGTTTTTTCGTGCGCCACACTCCTAAACCCCTCAGACCCCAAAACCTCAACACCTGACCCCCCACAACCCTAACTGGCCCTAAGCCCTCAGAGGGGTTTACTATACTGAAATTAGAACCTAGCAAAAATTAAATTTTCAGCTGTTTCTTAAGGATCATAATAACCAAAATTTAAAAAAAGTACCCCTAAGTTTATACCCAGCTCATCAAAAGCCCAAGGGCGTCTTTCAACGCCCACAAGGCTTTGGGACTAATTGGGGCTTAGGGCTTCCATGAATGAAAACTAGGATACCCAGTAACCTAAGAATAAAAAGGCCTCTCTTTTTGGTATTGGGTAACTTTATAAGGAACCTAGGACTACAAAAAGGGAATAAGGGTACTACTGGGCATCCTAGAAAACACGTAACCATGACGCTCTCTCAAGGTTAACAAGGATACCCAATCTTCATAATTAGGAGTTGCAATGGGGAGCACAAGGTTTTGGAGTGTTTCGCTTTGAACCTTGCACTCAACCCGACGACTTGATCCTGATCTGATCGTTCGGCCGTTGCAACCGAAGCTACGAAACAAGCGGTTAAGGGAAGTTTAGGGTAGTGGTGGTAGCAGTGGCAGATAGGATTCAGGTTCATTGAGAGAGGTCTCGTCTGGGGCAAGCATGCTGACTCTGGGGCGATTTCCCGGTTCCGGAACCGGGCCGGAAGCTTCAAAGACGCAATGCCCTGAAAGCGTTTCGAAGCCACATGGGCAGTCGTCAAAATTATGGTCCCTGTTTGGGTGCCCCAAATCCCTAAGCATTAGGTGCCGTATTATAATAAGGACCCAAAAAAGGACCATGATTTTCACAATCACCCACATAAACCACTAAGACATCATGGGAGCCTGGATGGACTCCAGGCGACAGCCATCACATCTGGGCTCTGGGCTCTGAATTTAGATGCGCAGACCTTCATCTCATAATAACCATCCGTGGTTTAGGGTTTAGGGAGTCGTACCTCCAAACTCGCACAGGACTCGCTCTTTTGCATGCTCCGAGCTGCTCGAAGCAGCGAAGCACACAACGGTTTCTGCAGGGTTCTACATTCAGCACGAACCCACGCCGTAAACCTACACACAGCCCACACTCATAAATCCAATCTAAAGCCCCAGACAGATCCAGTTCAGACACAGGTTCGTGCAATCAAGACCTAGAGCTACCACGCGTCCCAGTGGGAGCTAGCTGTGCTTTCAATGCATCGATGCAAGTGAGCCAGGGTCGAAAAACAAAACCCCCCGCCCTCAGCAGCCCCTCAAAGTAGATCCCAAAACCCCAAGCCCCCACTTCAGAATTCCACTGCCCAAATCGAAAACGGCCCAAACCGCATGTATGATGATATTGAAACGTTATCTAAACCCTGAGCCCGAAAAAGCCTAAACCCCCAAAGCCCTAAAACACTGAAACATCCAAAAACTGAACCCCTAAATGTCTAAAACGCACCAAAACAAAAAAAAATCCGAAAACTCGATCTCTTGACCAGCGTAGAACCCTTGTGGAGCCCTCATGGAACCCTTCTTGCACCCTTTAAACCCGAAAACTTGATCTCCGTAAACCCTAAACCGCAAACCCTCTGATCCCTAAACCCTAAACCCTGAACCTGAACCCTAAACCCCAAACCCTAAACCCTGAACCCTAAACCTTAAACCCCTCTGATTTTTCGACCCTGGGTCAAAGGATGCCAGGACCAGTCGCCTTTCAAAGAGGAGACACGCCGGTCATAAGAAGGACCACAAAAGCCCCACTTAGGGCTTAGGGCTTGGAGTTCAGGGTTTAGGAATTGGGTTTAGGGTTGAGGGTTTAGGGCTTAGGACTTAGGAATTGGAGTTTAAAGCTGTAGATTCAGGAACCCTAAGGAATAATATTTGGTATATCTTTAGGCTTCTATACTAGACCCTGGGCGAAAACCTTCTTTGTCTTTTGTGGTCCTCGGACCGGGATCGGTCGCCGGTCTTCAAGCTCACTGGTTTCCTTTCTGTACAGCCTTGAATTCTGCTTGTTATTTGTGGTGGGTAAACTAGTTTCGGCCGTAGAAGAACTGAGAACTGCGGTTGATGATATAAATCCTGCATTACCTTAAGGACCCCAAACTATGGGAATTATGGTATACTCCTTGTTATGGGTCATGCAGGATTTACATCATCAACCGTAGACTAGGGTTTGGGGGAATCTGTTGGTACCACTCAACCTCTGCAACGTCAGATTCGAGGGGTGGAGTTTCCTACATCCCCAAGACCCAAATCTCTAAACCTTGGGTACTGCCCCCATACAGTAACAGTCTGTAGTAGGGCTACTATTAAGGTCCTAATATATCTATATTCTGAATATTATCCAACTGTTACTGAGTGGGGGCAGTATCCAATCTAAACCCCAAATCCCTGAAGCCCCCGTCCCTGATGAGGGAGCCGAGGGTGTCTCACAGCATACGGCATACATTACATCCCCGTGATACCCGTCCTCAGGCTCATGCCGGGTCTTTCGACAGCACTGAGATAAAACATGCTCAATGGTGATTCGGGTTTAGGGTGTAGGGTTTGACTAAAACTAAATTCCTAAACCTTCACACCCCTCAAGCCCTGAACCGCTTACCAAAGCCCCTGTCCGTAAACCTTGGGCCCTATGATATGCGGTCATATACCGTAGTATCCGTAATTTCTTCTAAGCTCACTTGCTCTTCAACTTCGCCTCCATGGCATTTCGAGACTTCTTGAGCTGCGCTTTAAGGGCGCGGACCATGAAGAGCACAAGGAAGAGGTTAAAGATGACCTGGGGTTTAGGATTAAGGATTTCGGTTCGGGGTTGAGGGTAGTAGTTCTCTCTTGGGCTTAGGCTTTCAGGGCTCATGAACAGCACATTGGGAAGAAGTAGAACATGGGTTCTTGCTTCGAGGTCCATGAGGGGTGAGACTCGCCCGTCCGTGTGCGCGCTCGCGCTGGTGCGTGTGTTTGTGCGGACCTCTATGTCTTCTCCTTCTCTCCTCCTCTTCTTCTCTTCCCTGTGCGCGTTTATGCACGCATGTACGGATGTGTGTACGGATGTATGGATGTATGGATGCATGTGTGTGCATGCACATGTACACATATATATATATATATATATATATGTATGTATGTATGTACCTATACATGGGTTTGTAGTACTTTTTTCTGGTTCCCTAAAAGTTGTGGGTCCTAACTAGTTTCCACGAAAATGTGGTTTCCTGTTCCGGGGTTTGGAGCAACTCATTTCTTGCAATGGATCACTTGTATGAAACGAAGTTGGAACAAAGAAAACACAATTAAACATATGACGAATATATCTAGAATATGTATATATATATGCATGTTCATGCAAATAATGTAAGTTTATGGAAGATCTATATAATAACATATATATATATATATACATGTTGCTTGACATGCTGGCATGTTCTATAACATATCCTATGAACTATATATATATATATATATATTTATGCATGATGTGTTGCTGCACTTGCTGTCATCTGTGAGTGTGGTTTGTCGCAGCTTGTGGGCTTCTTTTGTGAGCTTTGCTTAGTGCTCAGCTCTGCTTTTCCAAAGTTGCCTAGTTGAAGACAGTGGGAATATCATTCATACATGTATCGACTTAGTGTCTCTTGAGCCTCTTGATTCCCGTGCTGTGGATGATGGGCTGATGTCGGAAATGCCTGGAGCTCGGCCTTTGTGCACTCACCGTGAGCTTCTGTGGTTGACTTGGCTTGCTCATCTGTGAGTGTGTTTGTCGCAGCTTTTGGGCTTCTTTTGTGAGCGTTGCTTAGTGTTCAGCTCTGCTTTTTTCGGTGCCATGGAGCCTGGACCGATCAAAGAGTCGGAGGAGACTTTCTCAGAAGCTCTTCTGGCTCAGCTCCTGAAGGATGTTCATGCGGTGACTAGGCTGATGATTCATAGTGTGAGTGGACTGGGTGCTTGCTTCAAACAGACGACATATTAATAAATAAATATACATATATATATATAATATAATATATAATATATAATATATAATATATAATATATAATATATAATATATAATATAATATAATATAATATAATATATCTGTTCAGGACTGGATGGCGGAGCCTTCGTTGCAGGCGCTTGCACTGCAGGATAAAGAGCTCATCCAGTGGCCGGCGGATGAGAAGGGTCAGAAGCGCATCCCAACGGCTTTGGGGGCGAAGCTGAATCGTGTGCCTAGCCGACGTTTGTGCATAGAGTGCTGGGAGATATGCTGCATTCATCCAACATGGGGTTCCATTCATTCTGATGTGTAGCTAAGGCCCTTCTGCTTCCGATTGTGGGCCGTGCCTTGCAGCATCATGCTTTGCTCTATGTGAACATCTTGGAGATGCTGCTGAAAAAGTTTCGTGTTGAGACGAAGGTGGGGTAGCCTGATTTGGGGCAGAGGATTTGGCCGTCAAGACTAATTCGTATATGAGCTCTTGTATGGTGCAGGCCCAGCACCTCAAGGTGGACAAGACAGAGGTGCATTGTGGCTGCTGGTTTGTAGTTTTGCAGCAGGTTATGGGTTCATGCAGTGAGTCGAGATATGCAATATTTGGACAGGTCAAGATTGATGCTACGTCTGTGAACCCGGATGCGCATGCCATCAAGGCGTTTGTCAACTGCCATCGCCGATGCTTGTCAAAGTTATGATATTCATATATAGGTTTATGACTAGAATACAAATATGTATATATAAACAGAACATGGACTATACATATATATGAATACAATATGCTTGTGCGCATATACAAACACAGCAAGGGAGCGAGAGAGAGAGAGAGAGACAAAGAGAAAGACAGAGATTGAAAGAAGAGAGAGCTACACGAACCTATGCTGTATGCATAGATCACTGTTATATAGACTGTGTTTACATCCCACATGGTTGCCCACATGTATTTCTACAGTATATATATATATGTATATATGTCTACATGTTTTGATTATATCAGGAACATATTCAGTGTAGGAATGTGGCTCTATAGAACACATATATATATATATATGTACAGTATACTTTGTACCTGTACTGTCTCTCTCTTTCTCTCTCTCTGCACCTTTATGTTTACATATAGAAAATTCTTGAGGGGGTTCGAAAGTTCCATGGGGCTAGGTAGTTGACTTGAAGACAGTGTGTGGATGTATAGATAGATTATATGGAGCCGTTTCATGAATTGCTTAGATTTTTAAGGACTGGCTGATCGTTCGGACACCCAGCGAGATGCTGATGTGCAGAAGCTTACAGCACCTCAGCTGGATCTTGGCCCATCAACATGTAAAAGCAATTTTTTATGCAAGTGGTTGGTTAATCACCGTCAGGACATGTGCCGGTATGTGGCGCGCCAGATGGAGAACAACGAGGTGCCATATGTGGTGAAGATGGTGCGTGGCCGGGATCCGAATTCTGTGGACATCGCTTTCCGAACGGAGCCGATTTGGAGGACCAAGTCGTACAAGCAGAAGGCTGGGGCAGCGGACCCTGATGCATTGCAGGATGCTCCGATGGAAGAGGTGAGCCAACATGTTCCAGATGCGCAGGAGTATGTCATGCCGGATTCCTTCCCGGAAGATATGTTGTATGAGCCACGGCCGGTTGCAGATGCAGCAGGGTCCAGCACTGATGGCCCTCCGGACCCTTTGGATGCAGCCATGCCGAATTTCGACCCGTTTGCCATGCCGATTGAAGAGGAGCTTTTGGATGCAGGCATGCATGGCTCTGGACATGCAGCCATGCCGATTGCGGATGGCCCAGCGATTGAATCCATGGTTGCGGATGTTCCGACTGCAGCTGGCCCATCGGTTGAAGCTGTGATGGATGGGATCCCACCAGAGCATGAGACAATGCAGGAGAGATACAATCGCCTCGCGGACACGTATGGTGAATCGGCTGCCCTTGCTTTGACTGGCATGGTGCAGGAAGGCTGGCATTATGATCCAGTTGCCCAGCAGTGGTCCCAGCTCCATGGGTTCGTGAGCCCACTCATGCCTGCCAGAGCCCCTGATGCTCCAGTGGCAGAGACTTTGCAGGACTCGGAGGTTCCGGCCATGTGTGTTCCTGGTGAGCGTGCCTTTGGCTTGGATGATCGATTGTTTGAGACGCTGAGCATCTCATCGGGTCTGCCCTCTCCGAAGGCTGATCAGCCTATGGAGGCAGCTGAGGGCAGCCCAGTCGGCGCAGGTCATATGATCACACTTAATCGGCAGCTTTTTTTTTTCGGGAGGGGGGACAGAGAGTTGCATGCATGGTTTGATTTTGCTAGTTACAATACCTTTTGTTATATCTGGTTTATACACCAAATTTACATGTATTATATGTGATATATATATATATGTACATAGATATATACAGTCACGAGTAGGTTTGTACAGTTGTTCATGTTTAGTTTGTTTTGCTGACTTGCTGCATGCATATATGTCTGCATGAGGTATGTCACTATACATCAATGCAACTTTACCCGAGTTATTGCTGTGGCCATTATATAAGTATCCGAATGAGCATGAAGCTGTCTGTATGTCTGTCTCTCTATATTTATACAATAGATTCAACAGTACATATATATATATATATGTGTGTGTGTTCGTATACATATATATATATATATATACAATATACATCTCTCTCTCTATGTGTATATATGTGCACGTGTCTGTGAAGATGTCTGGTATGCCAATTTGACATTATGCGTGTGCCTCTGCTTGACAACTCCTTCATACATAATGTGTGCATGCACACACACACATATACATATACAGTACGCACATGTGAGATATAATATGTCATAAGACTTGTTATATGTATGTTTATAGATCTCAGATGTATTACAATAGACAAAAGTTTCCAATACCGATGATGTCTTGTTATTTAGGCCTGACGGTGCGCTTTTGGAGAGATTGCTCACATATTGCAGTGATTCATGACTCCATGGTTGCATGTGGAATCATGATCAACATTTCCCTGATACTGCTGGTAATACTTGGCTGTATCTTATTAAATAAACTTCCAGGGTGAGCTCATGTATCCAGGCATGGCCATTTTGTGCATCATGAAGGGCTCCATGTCTGCATACTTGCATGGCTAAACTTGTGCACCTTGGAATGATCATAGCCTAGCACACTCAGAGACCTGAGGCAATGAGTCTGTGGAAGAGGCGAAGATGTTTCTTTTGCAGAAGCTGCACATGCAGCGTGAGAGGAGACTCTCTGCATCTGAAGTTTAGTGGTGGGGCTTGTGGAATTGTGATAAGTCCTGCTCCACAGGATCATGGCTGGAAGCATGCCAGACAATGTGGAGACATGCCCCATGGCCCCTGATGTTGCCAGTGCCTCTTGGCCATTCCATCCAGGTATTGAAGTCATGGATTCGTTTGGTTGCACCAGTGGCTTACCATGAGTAAGCTGAGGATGCTTTGGAGAAGCAGCGGCTGTTCAATGGCTCCTCTCGTGAGGTCCCATTCTGTAATGGATGTTACATGGTTTCATGTTCCTATCCTTGACAAGTGATAGGCCTTCCCGAGCCAGATCAAGATTAACGACACGCCCGATGGCCATAACGAGACTCTTGGCTTGCACAATCCTGTTTCAGAGTGAGCTTGACAAGTCAAAGTGCAGGAACATGCCAATCTCTCACACTCTCTCTCTCTCTCTCTCTCTCTCTCTCTCTCTCTCTTGTATCTATATATATATATACAAATACCCGATATGACACCCTGTCAGAACATAGAAAATAACATACTCGTAGCTGTGCATGTGATGTTGCAATTCCTGC